ACAAAGTATATGCATCGTATTTCGTCGATAAAGTCAGGATAGCTTTCACGTTGCTCGCTCCTGTGGGTATTGGCACTGTACAAGACGATATATATAAAAAAAAAAAAAAAGAAAAAGGAAAAATATTTCTATCTGTAATAGCGCATCCACCTCTATCTACCTCTCTATCTCTACTATGCAGAAGTACGTGAACATATCTATCTATCTATCTACCCCTGCGGGGCAACGGGGACGCAATAATTCCCCTAGGAGAGATTATCGAGAGAAAATAGCGGTAAAAACTCATGCCTCCGCACAGCTTTGGCCGAGTGACCGCAATGCAACGACGTATTTCATATAAGTATATTCACACACACACACTTCTACCAAATATAGTGCATTAAAAATCAACGAAAGAGTAAACACGCTACGCGAAAGCTTTTCAAACGAACGAATAAAACAAAGCTGCACATTCATGAATTCGTTTGTTATTTATCAATAAGAAAAGTTTCGCGTATGTTTAAATATTACAAAGGAAATGGGAAATCTCATAGCAAAATTTTTATATCATCTTTTTTTATCCTTTCTTTAGTAAATAAATCATTGTTAATTATCTCTTTAAAATATTTTAAAGAGATACATATTAACAGTATACAATCCAGATGCATAATTAGACTATTAAATTATTATAACCGTGTAAGCGAGAGCGCGTAAATTACTTAGAACTTAAGGGCTGATATAATACGTCTTTATTCCTTCGCGTCTTACAATGAACTACCCTTCTACTATCATTTACCCCTTTAGTATATACATTTCTAGTAAGCAAATGAACATCGCTCTTCGTATCGATCACACATATAACAACTAGTAAGCTTGAGAATATTCTATATAAATATCATATATATAAATATATGCATGTATGTATGCATTTGAGAATATTCGATATTGTAAGCAAAATCGTGTACGAACATGGGTGCGCGCAGAAGCGAAATTCCAGTCGATTTGCTAAAGCAAGTACGACAGTGAATTTACAGACAAATTATGCATAGTACATAGACGAGACAATGTATTCGCCTGGTGGATTATTCTCACTACGACCTATATGAATCTGAATAATCTTTCGTGCATGCATTTTCGCTTGGTGTATAATCAATTATTCTTCAATATCTTTTTCATCCGTACACATATAGATAGTGCATATACGAGGTAGATCGTTTGATCAAAGAATTCAATTGCAATCAAGACTCGGCCATTATCGTTACGTTTATGTTTAGTAAACGAATTTATGAAAATATTCAGTTTCAATAATTTTGAGAGCCAGATAATAGTATTTTTTTGTTGATAAGTTGAGAAACTAAATTGAACAACACGGATTATATCGAGCAAATAATAGTTTTTTCTAGCACACAACCATAGAATAGCACTAGCAAAGATCCGAGGCACCTGTTGATAGCCCTCGTTAAAGTTTGAAGGAAATAACTTGGCCACCGCTGGACACGCAAGCTGAAAGATAGCTAAGTAATACTCCAACACGCGAAAAATGGTGCTACCTGTATCATTTGTCAAGTATAAACTGATCGGTTAATCTTTAATGCCATAAATTAACATGAAACTTTGTGACGAGTAAACGAATACGAATTGGGAAAACAAATGTCTTACATCTCGGTAATGGAAATCCAATCTCACGTAATAAATATACATATAATATATTATCCCTAAATTATTCTTACAATCAGAGTACTATTTCATGTTCTAATCATCTACTCGAGACAAAATTTCATGTCTATAGACATCAATTATTTGATATGTTATTAATGTTCAAACTTTTGAACGAATAAACACTCGAAAATAAAAAGACGAAGAAATAATCAGTAAAAATCAAAGAAAAACAATATTTCACTCATCATCTTTACGACGAGATTAGAATAAATAAACCGTGTCTTGGTAAGAGAGGCAGAACAATGCTACCTACCGATAGACTAATAGACCATCGAGAAATTCTATTTCTGAAACGCGTTGGTGCAAGCCGTCGTCAGCATGACTCAAGTTGCGTCTGATTGTCAGCTGTCCATGCGAAAACGAAACAAAACGCCATTGACATAGATTTTCACGACACGGAATCAGACTTGTGTGTTTATATGTATATATACATCATTATATATATGTATGTTAAATAAATTTGTACTTCCGCTGTTAATGAAACGGACAACGAAAGAAGTATACCGAATTCTTGTTTTTTCTTTTATACGTTAGATACGTTCCTTCAAAAATCGCGTAAAGAAAATAAAAGTTTCCTATAATAAAATAAGATATAAGTTAATGTTAAAGCTATGTGTAAAATAAAGAAATATATATAATAGGAAAAATATTGTGTAAAATAAAGTGTTGCGAATTTGTCTTTCTTCACTATCTTAAAACATTTTTCTGAAATCAAAGAAAACATCCATTATATTAAATCATTGATAAATGGAAGCCGTGGGTAAATTCGTCGTCCGTTTTTATTCGTTGCAACGTTAAAATAAGCCGATCAAGGGCCAGACTTGCGCTCAAGCGATCAGCTTTCCCAGAGAGACTTTATCGACTCGTCAATAAAGATTAGAAGAACTCTTCAAATCGAAAGTGTGTACATCTGAAGAAATTAACGGTGTTTCTTTTCTTTATTTCTCTCTTTCTTCTTTCAATATGATGACCAAGTGCATGAAATTTACTTCGAGAAAATAAATGAGCAAGGAAAAAGAAATTACTTTACCAAGGTAAACTAGTTTTCTTCCCTTTCTTCATTTATCTACCCTTTACCTTACAAAGAAAAGAACGGATAGTTAACGATCACTTGGAGGAAAAAGTAGAAAGTAGTTTTCAGTCTTTTTCTTATAAAGTGTCAGTTAAGAGATACGACTTTGGTCGAAAATGTAGAATTACCTATAGTAAATTTAAATGAAAAAAAAAATAAAAGAATTGAAAAAAAGAAGAATTGACCGTGATAATTAAAAAAAAAAAAAAAGAATCGCTTCACAGCTTTTAGAAATGATGCTTTTTCTAGAAGAATTTAACAAAATGCAAAAGCCCCTTGGTATAAAAGGGTTGACAATAGACTCCGTTAAAATTATCTCTGAGACCTCGGCTTGCGGTGCCTTCAGGCGCTTTGCACAGAGCCAATTACTTTAAAGTTCAGTACATTCTCTCCCATGAAACGCATACGCTCGGACATATATTTGCGAAAGGATTCGTATTTTTAGAAATAAACAAGAACCTATTGATCCATCCACTTAGATTACTTCAATCAAATTTAAAAACCTATACTTGATCTATTTTTTATCAACAATTCTTTCTACAAATATCACAATATTAATTACTTGTTCATTATGTAGATTCCGTAGATTTAAAGATAACTCTATTACTGGACTAATATCATGATCGCGATATTTAATATAAAGATCTCAAATCGTATATAATTAATGTCACTTGTTGTACGAAAATAAAAAGAAACATTTTCATTGGAATATCATCAAACGATATGAATACGTTGAATACTTCATTAACTAATGGTTAATCCCATTTGGAGGAAAGAATTCTTAATTTTTCATGAATAAAAAATCCGAAAGATTGGTAGTCAAAAAGATGTAAAAGAAAAAAAAGAAGAAAAATATGAAAAACTTACCCCAGCGTAGTCATCGTAACAATAGTGTACCAGAAGGCAGCAGGTATCGAAGTGAAATTGGTACCGTCGACGTTCTTCTCTGCGTAGAACATGACGGTAGCGAAAATGATGATGGCCATGGCGAGGGAAAATACTAAGAAGCCAAGCTCGGATGCGCAGGATTTGAGGGTGTAACCAAGAATCCTGAGTCCCTGGGAGTGCCTGGAGAACTTGAAGATTCGAAATACGCGAAATACACGTAATGTTACGAAAGCGCCGGAAACGTCGTCGTTATCAGTTATACCGAGACCGATGTAATAGGGCAGTATGGCGACTACGTCGATGATCGACATCACCGATCGCGCGAATTTACAACGACTAGGGGCGGCGAAAAGCCTGAGCAAATATTCGGCGGTGAATATCATAACGCAGGCTGTATCGAGACAAAAGAACACGATTTTGTATCGTTCGCCGCATGAAAGTGTACCCGCGCGACCCGGTCTATTGCCGCATGGTACGGTTTCCACGACGTTCGCCAGCACGCTCACGGCAATGAAGAAACCAGTAACGTAATAGAAAACCAATGCCGCGGTTGAAATGTGCGGATTTTGAAAGGCCCGCCACATCTTCTGTCTTATATCGAGCAACTGTTGAAGATTTTGATCGCCATTTTCGCTTAATTTGTCGTCCATCAGACGTTCCGCATTTTCGCGTTTGCGATCGCGATAATCCTCGTAACAGCAGTCCCCTATCACATCCGGGAGAATGCCGAAGAAAGCGAGCTCCTCGTCGTAGCTCGTAAGACATTCGTGCTTTGGATAATGGAGTTTACCGGTTCTGTAATAATTTAATATGTGACGAAAAATGTCCGGATCGCGATCGAAAAAATACTCTTTGCTCTCCTCGTCGTAAAAGAACTCGCGCTCATTCGAACCGAGCAACGTGTCCGGATACTTTTCAAGGGTATTTCTCCAGGTCTCGAATCTACGGCCGCTTACATTGATAAGGAGCTTTTCGTCGTCTGCTTTACGACGATCTTTTGGTATCGGCGGCGGTGGCAGTGGGTGTGTGGCGATCGGCACCCAACCGATCGCCGCCGCACGGGCGAATGGCAGCCACGCTGCCACCGAGGCCATGCTCGACGGTGGAATCTTTCTTTTCTATTTCACTCCTTCTCACTTTATCTCTCTCTATCTCTTCTCTCTATCTCCTCTCTCTCTCTACCCCTTTTTCTTTCTCTCTCTCTCTCCCCTTTCGCTCTTCTTTCCTTCTTTCTTTCCTATTATCACCTACCACCTGCGATCACTATTTCTTGAACTCACCAAAATTGCTGCTTTTTATTAAAAAATCCTTTCTAGAATCTTTAACGAAGCTCACACACATCATATGCTCGAGGATGCTTCTCGCTCGCCGTTCCTCGTTCACCAAGGTTATCGACGACAATGGAAGCGTCCGAAAGCTGCCAATGTTTTCTTCCCAAAGGTAAGGGTCCGTCGTCGACGACGAGAACAACGTCAAAAACGACGCCGTCCACGACGATATCACGATTCCCTATCCTATTATACTCGAGATCGACCTCGAAACTCAACATCATACCACTGCATTCCTCCTCTGCTTTCTTTCTTCTTCTCTTCTTCTTCTTCTTCTTCTTCTTCCTCTTCTTCTTCTTCGATCGTCACACCGTTCAGGCATTAAGACCGAACTTGACGAAGATTCGTCCTTAAACTAAACAGACTCGGCCAGCTAAACTCTCGAAAACACTGGAGGAACTCGTCTTCCAGCATTCTCGAAACGAGTCCTTTCCTCGATTGATAGTTTACTATACTTCTCTTCTCGACTACATTCTCTATTACCGAGCTGGCAAGCTGCAATCTCCTCAACTATCTTTCTCTTTTTCACCTTTCTCTTTTCACGTAAAAATAATAGTAACGAAAACGGACGTCATATTCGAACGAATCGTCTTTTAATACTCAAAGTTTCACATTGAACTTCCGTCAGGACGAAGAGATCTTTAGATCTTAAAGATCTCGAAGATCAACCAGGATATCACTCGTGATAATATCGCTCATCACCTCGATCTCGTCAAGAGCATGCTTGAGAAAGCTTGCAGATCGCACAAGATTCGTACGATACGTAATGTCGTTTAATATTTACGTAGCGTATTTTCTTTAAGAGCAACACTCTTGGGATCATCACCGATAAGAAGAACAAATCTCTATATATTATGCACCCTTTGAAACTAATTCCTCCAGTCGATATATAATTCGGCGTGTCTCGACGGATACAAAATATGAAGAACGACGATGAAGGACGGCGTCGGGTAGCACAATGAAAAAAGATAGTCGAAGGGCTCAAACGCGTGTGTTTAAAATTACGAGAGCCCTTCTTTCTTACTCTTTTTCTCTTTCATTCTATCTTTATCTTTCTAACGATCTTATTAACCGTTCGTCATACGAAAAGTAATAAGCTTCCAATCGTAAAGTGCTCAAACGGATTGCGCGCAATATTTATCTCTCTCTCTCCCTTTCTCTCTCTCTCTTTAATCGTAGTTTTTTCACGTAATTAACTTATCGGCGTATCGAAAGACGTTGCTGGTTATCGCGGAAAAAATATAATAATAAGTATATAATTAAAACAAGAAGAGCAATTTCTCTGTCGACGTCGCGTTTAGATCTATCGGGCAACTCCTAGATAAAGCGTCTTCGAGCACTCGCGTGAATTTCCGACTGAGCCGAATATCCCCAGGAAGTTCTCATTCGACGATATATCGTCGTCTTGTCGTCGTCGTCGTCGTCGTCGTTGCCTTTGAAGAAAACCCTCGTAGAAGGAAAACTTGACGGCACAAGTAGTAATAGTAGAAGTAGTAGTAGTATTATTAGTAATAGAAGAAGAATAGCAGCAATAGTAGTAGCAGCAGCAGCAGCAGCGGCAACAGCAGCAGCAACAGCAGCAGCAGCAGCGACGGCGGCGGCGGCGGCAGGAGTGTCGGCGAGCTTGAGTCCTCTCCCGACGCATGTCAGAGCTGAAAGCTCCGCATGCCCGAAAGCATCGTGAAAGCGTTCCTCCTCTTTGTCCTCTCGACGTCCATACGTTTGTCGTCGCGTCGTCGTACGGTCTTTCGATTAGAAAAATTATTTATCGTCCGCGTCACCGACACCTTTTCATTTTGTCTCGTCTGGTCTCGTGTCGTCACGTCTCGTCCTCTTCTCGTAAAATCGTCTTGGTCCTTATTCCTCTTCGTTCTTGCGTTCTAATTCTCGTCTTTGCGCGTCCCAGCTCACGCTCTCGGAAATACGTGCTTTAGTGCGCGGCACGATCGCAAGCACGAGTCTCTCCTTCTCTCTCTCTCTCTCTCTCTCTCTCTGTCTTTCTCTTTCCCTCTTTCGCTCTCTCCCTCTCCCACCCTCACCCTCTCTCTCACTCTCTCTCTCTCTCTTTCTCTCTCTCTCTGTGTAACCCGCTCGAACGAGTTGACCACTCGCGACTGCCGGAACGTTTCCGAACTCGGCGAGCTTTCGGTGCTTGCGCTGCTACCGCTGGTGCCGGTGGCGCGGCACAGTGGTGGTTGACGCTGACGGTAGCAATGGTGGAGGTTAAAGGTGGAGGGAATGAGATGTAGAGAGAGAGAGAGAGAGAGAGAGAGAGAGAAATAAAGAGGGAGGTGGTAAAGCCGCGTAAAGCTCGACGCCTCGACGAGAACCATGCACTCGCCTAGGCTCTTCTTGCCTCGCTTCACTTCGTCTAAACTCGACTCGGTTTGACTTTTTTCGAGTGACGACGAAATGTAGTTTACAATTAGAGCCGATGATTACCGTTAACTCTGTCTGTCGGTCCTTGCTCGCTTCCTTGCTCGCTTTCTTATTCAAGTACTTGCTAGCTAGCTAGCTAGATAGCTAGATAGCCAGCTAGCTAGCTCGCTAGCTTGCTTGTTCTCCTAGCCGACATCTAAATTGATTTTTACGGTACGCCGCCGGTGGCGACGCGCCACGGCTTCCAAAAGCGCCGGACGACTCTCGTTGCCCGGGCAACCCCTTAACGATGACGTCACACTACCCTCTATCCAGCCCTCCTTTCACCCTGTTTCTCTTCCTCTTATAGCTTTCGTTGGTTGCTTCGCCCTTGCTTTCGCCGATCTTAACAACACCTTCTTCCCTTCTTTTTTTCTCTCTCTCCTTTTCGAGGATCTATCTCAAGCGCAAAATTCGATATCTTCTTTCTTAAATAGTCATTCTTCCTTTATTCCCGTCACTCTATCTCAGAAACCTACGTTTGAGCGAGCGCGCTTCTTTCCAACTCGATGACATTCTGCATCAGACAAGCCAATTATTCCTTGACTTCATTCATTAGAGGGAAAACGATTGCAACCAAGAGAATTGGTATTCGATGGCCGTTTACATATGTACTCGCTCGAACGAACGACGAATCAACTTTGAATGTAATTTTCATAGTGTAGTATGTACTCCTTTATATTCTACTCATCAACTATCTCCGCTGAACGGAAAACGTATCTCTCTCTCTCTCTCTCTCTCTTTTTTCTATCCCTTTCTCTCTTTTTCATTCTCTCTCCTCCCTTTACGTAACGGTGTCACTAAGAAAAACAAGTGACGAAAGACGGGAAAAAAGAGGTGACGTCGGTATATCCAGATTGGATGACTGAAATCAACGAGAAGAGCACTATGCCTCGCCGCCAGGTAAATTTACGCCACTAATGAACGTGCGAAAGAGTGCAGCCTCAAAATGTGAGTGTACACTCCCGTAACAACGTCGGTAACGTCCCCTAAGAGCACCGTTGCAAAATATTACAAGTTACAACCACTTTTCCGTCCGTCTTGCCTCTTTTTCTAAACGAGAACGTGCCGTATAACTATGGACTTTTGATAGTAATAAAAATTAAAAAAAGAAAATATAAGTGTTACTGCGCTGTTTTTAATATTGATTTAGATATCCCTTTAAATGTATTATAAAATAGACTTTCAGAAATTTAAAAAAAAATCTAATTTTTATTAATGATGATTGTTAAGTTTTTTTGTCAAGAAATTCAAGAGAGAGAGAGAGAGAGAGAGAGAGAGGAAGAGAGAAACTTGATTTTTTAATTACGTTTGACATGTCTAATTACCAATTCCTTCGCATGGCCAACGTATGTGAATCAGTTGGATCTTATTCGGTGAATAATTTTGTGTTCTTAATTTTTCGCCAATCTTTAAAGATAAAAAATCACGAGGAAAACATAAATGACATAAATTGTGGAAAAGGTGACAGAAATTTTTCATTAGATCGAAATTTCTTTCAAAGAAAAATTCGCGGTTACATTTGAAAAAATGCTCTAATTGTAAGTATGTACCATAATTAAGAATCATATTAGAAATTATTTAATAACTTGTGATATATTTAGGTAACCTCAACGTTAATTGAAAAAAGCTTATAATATACTCGGCAATAGGAATCGTCTGTCAAGTTACTTTTAACATTTTTTTAGTGGATGCAACAAATAGATGAGAGAGGAACTTAGTATTTTTATTTAATTAATTTAAAATAAGACTATACGCGATGAGAGAGAAGGAAATTAACATCGTGTACAAGAAAATATATCTGGTCCCCTACTGGTAATAGAAAATTACTTTTTTATGCGACCGACACTGCGAAAAAAAAGTGGAAGTAGATAATGACCGCCTTAGTCAACCAAGTATAATGTAACGCAGACGGCTGTTATGCAATTTTGATTTATAGGTAATTTAAACCTTTCTTGATAATCTTTGCACGATATTATAAGCAAAATGTGAAGTAAAAACAATTTACCAAAGACTTAAAACTTTAATTAATCTTTGCATATTACACATAATCTTGTACGTTGCTAAAGATTGGATTGTAAGTACCGAATGTATGTATGTATGTATATAATCGACAAGATGGAAAACGGGAAAAAAAGTCATAGCGATGTAAACTTTAAATTTCGCGATTTTTATCTTTCGCGAAAATAAATTTATATGCGAATAAAAATTAACGAAAATTCGGATTAGGAATAAAATTAATTTCGTCTCGTGTTGTATAACGAAAAATGATGGCGAAGAAATAACTAGATTTACTGTTCAAATTGTACATAAAGACGATTTTTATTTTTTTAAATACTTTTTGGACATCGATACTTTTTGTGGTATTTTCAGCTTACTTCTCATTTTCTTCTTAAATCTTCGCAAATGTCGTAATGCATTCGATTCTTTCATTCTCCTCTCGTGTACGCGGATATGACACGACGCGTCGATCATACATATTAAATACTCGTCGAGCTCTACGAAAGATTCTCACGATTATTATTTAACGCGAAACTTATATTTAAATGTTTTTGCCTATTCTAATCTATGAAAGTAAGAGCAAGAGTCAAAACCAAAATGATATTGCGACGACGATAGCACAGCGGAGGAAAAGTAGGCCGATTATTGAAAAAAAAGAGGACGGTAAACTTTATTAATAATCATCTATATGAAATAACTTCTTCCCCCCGAAGCTTTTCACGTCTTTCTTAAAATCGAGAGAGAGATTGGTCATCTTACAATTCGTAATACTAAAAGAAAACCGATAATCCTTTAATAGTAGCAAGTGATATAACATAATGCATACTTCTCGCTTTAACCTATTCTATTTCATTAAAAAACGTCACATGAAGTCACATAACGAATCTATCGTAAAGCTCGATACTTTATATCGTAATTATTTTGTACATTGGTTATATGTACGAGCGTCGAAAACGGCAACGCTCCGTTCTCACTCTTTTTTTTTTCGTTCTTCCAAAATTGTTTGCATTCATAAAGTCAATACGAAAGGTCAGTACGACCGGTAGATGAAAGCACATCGAAAAACTTTATTCTTCCTGTTTTTTTCCATTTCTTCTTAGAACCACCAGACTTCTCTTCTCACAGATCTTGTCTTCCTTTTTCTTTTCTTCCCCTCGACATCTTTCTTCCTTTTTCTTTCTCATCTCGTAAATAGCGTCAATAATTCGTGTCAACCGTCGATTATGAATGACAACCGTTATAGCATAAGCAACAATTATATACACATTAAAAAGCGTCATTACAATTATCGATTGCGAATACTCGTGGATTACTAAATTACATGCCACATCCAGATACATCGTTCGTTCGCGATCTTATAAGACTATATAGTTTGTATAGCTTTTCATAGTTTATGTATCTTCGAGTAAATTGATCATTCAAACGGATACAGCTGTTTATTCCTGTCCAATCATCCGGTCGCTGCATCTTTCGTCGATCGATTTTCGTTGCAACGTGTGTCCTTTATTATATATATGATATATGTATATCTTCGCATACCATCGTGGCACAGAATCGAGAAATATCGTTTCTTATATCGTAATACAGATTTCAATTCATTCATCTTTCCTCTCTGTTTTTATGAATGTATAATCCACGATCAATAATAATATTTGCATTAATTAAATAAATCTACAAAAATAAAAAGTAAGGAAAGAAAAGACTTGACTGTTATAATATTTAGCATGTTGGATGTATATGCGTATACATATACATATAACTTCTTGAAATTACGTTATATATAATATGTTGGTAAAATTCTTTTTCTTTAGAGTTTTCGATCGATTCTTTCGCAGATCGCATGCGAAACGATTACGATCGTTGTTTCGTTATAAATTACCGAAATATTTGTCAGTATCGCTATACGTTTTGTATATGTTTAATAGAGATCGAAAAAGTGTTCATCGGAAGTAAAGTGACGTGGAATGTAAATTTGAGCAAATATTTCTATGTAAATGTTACTCGAGTAATTCGGCGCTTGAGCTCGTTTCATAAAATATTCATAAAACGAAGATTTTTTGAAGCAGGTGAAACGAAGGAGAATATATATGGTGAAATAATTATATTAAATTTTAGCGTTAATATAAACTCGAGAATGAACACTCAAAACTATTTAACCCTTTTTCCTTTCCTTTTTGTTCGTACATTTACTTACATTCACATTTCTTCTCATTATACCTCAAATAACTCATTCGCAAGCACACTAATCACACAGTTTTCCATTCTTTTTTCGTTTTGTTTCTTGTTAACTTATATAATACGACTTTAAAAAGTGATTGCGTCTTTTGATCGTTCGCTAAACATTATATTTAAGACATATCGAAGTTTTCAGCAGCGTCGTCAGTATAAAATTTCATAACTTCGCGCAAATTAGAAATCCTATACCTATGTCTATTAACGCTATGTATAATACGCTTAGATTTTCTTATATGTCAACCACATAGACGATCCGTGCGATCGCTTATCGATTTCGAATGTATGTCTTTATAAATGAGTCCGAGAATTGAAACGTGTTTTTCGCCTCACTTTAAGCGTGTTATTCTTTTTCTACTTTTCTTTTCTCTTCTTTTCTCTATTTTTCTTTTATGTATGATATATATCTCCTGACAGTAAAACCCGAATTGCAAAATGATTTTCTTTATGATGCCCATACGAATCCCTGCAAGAGTTTAAATTGACGGTAAACCAACGCAACGCGAAGCTGCGCATGAAAAAGTAATTTATTTAAATAAGTTATCGTTTCGCGTTATTTTTTCTTTTCTTTTTTTTCTTCTATTTTGGATGGAACCATTTAGCAAAGAATTGCTGAAACAATATCAGTGATCCCACACAGGTAGACAAAGCGGAACATATAGTATAGGAAACTTTTAATTGGCAAAGGTTCCCATCGTTCATATACAATAATAATATAGCTATTGATACAACGAGGACAGGGTTGCGTCCATTTACACGTTATGTATAATATTATATTTATATAGTATGTATATGGATTATTTACAAAAATCGTTATAATTTATTATAACGATGACATTTATAAATACACAAGTTTTCTTGAAAGAAGGAAAACGTACTCATCGTAACTTGGAGACTTGTTGAAACAGTGCGACAAATCTAAATCGGCGATTGAATGCAACTACGATTTACATGATACTCGTTGTGATTGTTGAATCGTTTTGTTCACATTATATATATATGTATCTCGTATATCTAATCGCAATCTAATTTAATATTAAATCAGACCGTTTGCAAAAAAGCGATTAAAGTATACGCTTTAGGCCGACATACGCATCGCAAAACGTAATCGTCGATAAATCGTAGATGAAAGAAAATCGATTTGCGTGCATTAAACAATGTTTCACACAGGAAAATAATAATAATTGCTTTGTCTATATGTGATTAGAAGAAAAAAGAGAAGTCAAAGAATAAAAAAAAACAGATTGTCGAAAGATCGAAATCCAAGAAGAAAAATGGACTCAGACGCTTTGTTTTTTATATTTAAGTTTCGACGTTCGGCGCAACTGTACAATTATAATACATTCGCACATCATCATCAGTCTACATAATAAATAAAAAAAAAAAAAACAAATAATAAAATAAAACAAATCGATCACTATTCGTTCGTTTCCATGTTATATTACAGGCAACGACAGTTTGATAATTATTTACCTTTAATATTTTACTTTTAATGAGACTATATCCCATCATCCGAAACGCGTCGTGACTGAATGTCCAGTTGCGCGAAAGAATTATTAAAGCAGAATCCTAAACGGACATTATCGTAGAAAAGTGAGTTTATTTCGGTCACAAAACAAGATGATGATGGACACACGTATCGAATACTTATTTTGATGAGTATAAAGGAGTATTCGTCAAATATCTTTAAAATGTTCATGATCGCTAAGATGGATGATTACTTTTCAATATCTATCTTATTACTTGCGATATGCAATGATCACTTGTGAATTTGTAACCATGCTTTTTTGATCTCGTGCGTACCAACTACACCTTGCTTCCTATCACAACATTATATAATTAAGTACATACGAATGTATAAAATTTGATTACTACTAAATGGGAATGTACGATTCGCTGCTCATTAGGTGTGCTTGCGAGACATACATGCACACACATTTATAGAATTATCATTAAAAATGTTCTTTTATAAATGCACTCGTCAGACGTGTGTATTTGAAACATGCGGCCATTTGTCGCGATTTTGTCTTGCAAAAAAGATTTAACGTGTCTTTTATAATATCGCGGCCGTGATACAAATTTACGTCTACGAATTAAAAATTAACAATGAATTATCTTCGATGCTCTTTATGCAAATCTTGGTTTTTTTTTTTTTTTTATAAATATTTCGAATTAGAAAAATTGTGCTGATGTTGGCATTCAATGAGCTTAAACCTTAACGTTAACGATATTTCATTATTTTCGTTCGATTTTATATATACTTAAACGACGTACAACTTCGAAATATGGCTCGCCAAAAAGGTATGATTATTAAAATTCCTAACATACGGATTTATTTATGGCACAATTGTAGCAACAAAAAATGAAATGATAAATGAAAGAAATAATTCCTATATATCTTTAATTAATATTATCAAATTGTCAGAATCAGCGAATCAATTAATCATTACTCTCTGTGTTTCATTAATAATATGTTGGTACTTATTGACCAACACTTTGTCAAATAACGTAAGTAACATTTAAAGAGATTGATACATTTCATAAGTATCACTGACAAAAATTATAATTTGTAATAATTTTAAAATTAAGTCTATTATTCAACCTATTTTTCGTTTTAAAAGTATTTCTCTATAGTTCACCTTGGTTGTTCGTAATTTAATATCTTACATTAGTATATTTCTATATACACCTCTGTTTGAAGAAATGAGATAATTACCTAGATAACTTTAAATCTATTTAAAGAACATTGCTGTAAATCTGCTAGTTTTTAAATTTTCAAAGTCTGCCTCGTATAAGTATACTGTTAACAATTTAACACTTTTGTATGACATTATTACTGCTTACTTATAAATTCCGTAATCTCATGTAATATTTCGTTTTCAATTAGACGGAATAGATATATTGATTATATCACCATACAGCTTATTGAACATTACTTGAAATCAAATTTATATGATTTGAAATACCATTTGGAGAGTCATTTTTGTTCAAATAAAGTAAAATTAATTTCATAATACAATCGAAAGAACGTTACATGAGAATGTTGAACATGATACCATATTACTGAAAAAAAAGTCATATTATAATAAATAATGCGCTTAAAAATGATATAAGTACTCTGTCTAATAAAAGTGCGTCCCCAATTCCTTCTCGACAAATATCAGTTCCTTTTTTTTCTATGAAATTAGTAAAATAATTCAATATGATACTTAAACTACATGAAAAAGCAACATCAATTTTGACATTACAATTATGTGATATTATTAAATATCAAGTCTTATATCTAATACGTAGTAATAAATACATCGTTTTGGATACATCCAACATGATACATGCATACTGTTATGACACATGGATTGACATAGTTACTTGCATTATTAACCGATGTATAAACAGCCGTCCTAGGATCATTATTCGATTATTCCGTTCGGTCATATATTATAAACAATATAAATCAAGATTTAAATAAATTCGGTCTTTTATGTCGCATTACTTAAACTAATCGTATTATGTGTGTACTACATCGAAAAGAATATTATAAACTATAATGAAACCAATCATTCCGTGTAATTGTCACTGATAACATGTTAGCATGCATCAGGTTCTTTCAGAAGCAACAAGCTCCGAGGAGAACTATAATATTAACTTTTAAATAGATTCGGTTTTGTTTACACAACCAAAAATTCCTGCAATAACATCTTTCACTACACCATTACGATAGCCTCTTCTCCACAGAAAAGAAAAGGATATTGATCGATCATTGTTTGCACAACGTCTTCTAAATATGGCCTCATAGCTTCAAATCTACCAAGATCATTAAATTCTATTGGTAATAATGTGGGCCACCAGCAGATGGCCAAATTTTTGCTGTCCATACTGTTTAACTTGCAATTTTCTGCCACTCTGTAATCGCATAAATAAATAATAATTATAAATAAACGTGTACAAAAAAGAAATACATCGAACATACAGAATAATTTTAGAAAAAATCTTACTTGACAAAATGTTGAAATATGAACTTCAGTACATCAAAATTTACTGGATTTAATTTATTAAGCATCAAACGTAAAGCTAGCAGTCTGCAACTACGATCTGGAACCATAAATATGTTTGTATTATAGTATTCCTAAAATTAGTATATAATAATAAACCATAACAATAACAGTAACAATAATAGTGGTAGTAATAGAATAATAATAATAGTAATAATAATAATAATAATAATAATAGTAGTAATAGTAATAGTAATAGTAATAATAATTATTATAATTATAATAATAATATTGACATTAAGACAAAGGAAAGAAAGAACAAGCAATGTTTGTTCTGCATTAACCGTATTTTAGAGAAGCATAATAATTATAACAATCGCGTATATTAATATTCCAAAAAAAAGGCGATACTAACCTTCCATATTCATGCAAGTCGCTGACATTGGTTTACTGATGCCACGTGCACCTAATATAAGCACACACATAGCTCTACATTCTCATATCAAATAACATTTAAGTATATTTTTCTTATAAATCAACCAATCGTTTTGTTCATATAATATTGCAATAATTAATTACTCACCCGATATGTCTTCGAGTTCACTCATGCGCTCTTTATCAATGAGTGGTGGTAACCTCTTGGAAAAGAAATCTTTTAATGCTGTTGCGACTGCATTTACAGGAATGTCTAAAGAATGAATGTCCACATTTCCATCTGTAATTAACAAAAATTCCATGAATTTTGCAAATAATAAGGATTTCCACTGAAAATATTTTCATTAAATCTATTTTATAAATACCTTCTTCGAACTTCTGAAAAAGAAGTTCAACGTGTGCTCGATTTCCAGGAACTCTATATATTCCTTCTGAATCTAACCCTTCATCTTCAATGAACCGTACACATTTCTCCAAAAACAATGGTATCCGATTAGTTTCACTTTGGGCAAAATCTTCTATCACTGGTTGTATTTGACCTGAAATTGGTGTTCCACTAGATCCTTTTGTTTGTTTTATTTTCTCCTGCTTTTTCTTTTCCCTTTCTTTTTCTTTTTCTGCGTGTTTCTTCAGTTTTTCTTCCTTTTGCCTACGCTTCTCTAATTTTTCATCCTCTTTTGCTTTTTGCTTATCTTTTTTTCGTGTTGACTTATCACCTTCTTTACCTTTATTGAGTATTCCAAACTACAAAAATATGATATATATAAATATACTTTTATATTTAAAATTAAAACCGTTTTATATTGTTGCACTTTACTTACACTAGGAGAATTTATTTCTCGCGGAGATGAAACATCTAGACTCGATTCATCATCTATAACGTTAGAAAAATTATTAAATTAAAACTTTATTTAAAATTTCTCTAAAAGTAAATAAAATGGATGAATTTTATAAATTACTTACAAGAAGCACTAAACATATCTTGAGCCATATGTTTTGCATTAAAAGGATGTTGCAGTGTTGCTGCTGAATGCTGTTGCTGTAATGAATTACCAAATCTGCGTGTACTATATACCGCATGTAAATGTCGCTTATTCCTGGCCCTCATCGCTTGATCTGGATCACTTGATTCAGAACTATCTGGAGTTTCACTGGATACTGATGCATCAAATTAAATCGTCATAATATAGCAATATACAGATTATTTATTTAATAGAACGTAAAAAAGTAAACGTACCTCTTTCTACTGGATCTATTCTCCAATGTTTATCATCTTTGAGATTATAATTCATTCCTGCAATACCATCTCCACTTCCCATACTTGCCAATGATGGAACTTTTGGAGTTGCAACTGGTATAGCAATACGTTTCTTACGTATCCTTTTATGCGTTAATGGTTTCTTATTAACTTTTCCTAAAGCATCTACTACTTTTTGTCTTTCCAAAGAACTCCACTCAGAATCAGAATCACTGTAAGCTAAAAATAAATAACAAAGATAAATATACCTATTTTATATATTATCATGTATACAATGCATTAAAAGAAAAAAAATGCTTACATGGCTGTCCTTTTTCACGTCTATGTCGTAATTTAGATTTGTTGTTTCCAACAGAATCTTGTACTAATGCATACATATAATCACCGTCGTAAGTAGAATATAAACTAGGAACAACATCTTTCACCTGGGCATATTCAGATCCAAGATCTACCAACTCGGGAGTAGCAAGAGGAGCATGACCCAAATTTACTTTAGGACCATGCTCATCTTTTTCACCTATTGTCATTCTAGCTATAGCATCTGTTACATTGGAAAAATCTTTTAAATTTAATTTTCCAGGCTGCTTAAGCGTTTGACTATTTCCTTTCGGTCGTGGTTTCGCTTGTGAAATATGGCGTCTACCTGTTGTAAAAGCTCTATGAGGATAGCTATTTGTTACTCCATCTTGATGCATGAACGTTTCTTTTACATCTTTCCATCCTATATGAATAGAAAATGTATATGTAAATAATAAAAAATTCAAAATTAGCTGTGATATCCGGTATATTGTTATTCTCTTATAGTACTAACCAGAAAACTTGTTAGTAATATTCGCTGCTTTCAACATTTCTTGAAAAACATCAACACAAACATCACTATCATCACTTGGATAAGCTCTATTATCAGAAAATGTTTCAGTCAATCCTGGATCTCCAAGATCACCATCTGGCGTTAATTGTTCAAATGAATCCGAACCACTTCTGAAAGTTACAGACATACTGCTTCACATTAGATTTGAGAATTATAGAAAAGATATAACTAATATGATAATTTAAAAGGTTTCAGATTACTTACCCATCATCTGGGGTTTGAAGATGATAGCTTTCATGTCGCGGCGGTGGCATTGGATGTAAAGCGGAATATTCTAATGTACCCTCACCACTATCATTTATATTACCAGGTTCCTCCATATTAAATGCTTGTTCAATCTCTGGTTTTTTCTCCCACACCTCTTTAAAAAAAGGCGTATAAAAAGCAGCTGCAATCATAAAATCAGTAAATTTACATTTTATCCGAAATATATAATGTTAATAATAAAATTATATTATTTAAATGAAATAATACTTTTCTGTTGACAACTCGATGCAGATGTCATAAAGTGTGCTTGTAATCTATCTGCGGTTGCATTTCCTTCTGTGATAAGTAAATGACTCAGATCATTACTAAAAAAGGCATTGGCTCCTCCAGTATCAGTCACAGCCATAATTTGTATTGGTAAATTTGGTATGTTCATAGAAAATGCACTGAAAATAATTTTAATAGATATAATAACAACTGTATAATAACTGCAGAAAAATATTCAATCAATTATAATACACACTTAAGAGTTGCAAGAGATGCTTTTCTCTTTGTTGAATAGACCAATATGAAACCATGTACAAGTTCGTCTCTAAATGCATTTGCTCCATGAAAACTCAAAATAGTAACTTCAACTCTACGTTTAGATTCCCCTAAAAACGTTTCCAATACAATAGATCTTTCTCCGCTAAGAAAACAACACTGATGACTGAGTAAAGGTCCAAGAACATTTTCCACGGAATAAGGATCTCCGCAGAACATACACATTATTATTCTGCAATAAGTAATTTACTTTTAGTTCTAATTTCTTTCTCTCTAAATATATATAACTTGTAACTTATAAAATTATATATATGTTTAAATTATTATAATTAATAAATTACCTAATATCTGGTTCAAAACACTCTATAACACTTTGGTAAATATTCAAAAATCCAGCTCGATGATTTATAGATTGTATAAGTTGTTGTAGCGCATCTTTCACCAAAGCTGTCGGAAATCTTTTATCTTGTTCTAAATCTATGCAAACGTCGATAAAAGGACACTGCAAACTATAGCATAAATAATAAATACCAAAAATATGGATAAACAACCTAATTATTCAATTATACTAGAAAAAGAAACTTTTCTAAGCTCATATACCTATCAGCAAGATTTTGTCCTTCTTCCCTGAGTCTCAATGCTTCAATATCATCGATACTTGATTCCGGTAAAAACATAATAACAATAGGTAATCCTTGAAATGGTAATCTATCTTCTTGTTCTAAATTTGAAAGTAATGTTTTCTCTAATGATGAACGGATGTATTCGAACGAATCCTCATTTGAATATATACAAAATGATCCTGCAATAAAATCAAATATAAAAAAACACATATTTTAAATATTATTAATTAAGTATAACAAAATTTTATAACGAAATTATTGTATACCATGTGGCATGAAATCTGATGTGGTAAAAGAATTGTGTGGTAATCCTACATCACCATCGATAATTCTATATCCCAAAGTGTATAATTGGCAATCAATTTCTACTTCATCGTCATCTGTTTGAGCTCTTATTTCACGGGCAAATTCCTCGCCTAAACCATTACACCCAAGTATAACTAAATTCAGTTGATTATTATCTGATGTTAATTGCCACTGGCTACTATGATTCCAAGATGAAGGTCTGTAATAATATAACAATATATTAAAATAAACTTTATTTTATATAAAGAAAATTATATTGTATGTGATAGATTCATTTTACCTGTGAGCTTTTGTACCAAGTATCCTTTCAATAAGTGCATCCATGCAATTTGGATATGCTGGACAATGTTCTCTTATAGGAAAGTGTACAAATCCTAAGTGTTGGAATAGCATTAACTTCCTATCTTGATGTAATCTATCTAGAGCTTTATACCTGTATGATAATGTTTATGTCATAATAATAATAATAATAATAATAATAATAATAATAATAATAATAAATGTTTTCTACCATAAATTCTTCAAAAAGAATTTAAAAAAATACTATTATATTTAAATTGATTATTAACCTAAAATCATCTAGTAAAGCGTCCGTAATTTCTTTTACATCATCTTGTGTAATTTTTTCAGAAGGAGCTATACTCTTGAAGTGATAAAATAAATCGGCATGTTCTAACAATAACTCCTACAACGAGAAAAAGAGACAGATATTTAGAGTTAAAAGATTTTACTATTTATGATCATATAATATAATATCAATACATACTTGAAAATTATGTTTTGCTTTTTCAATTATTTCTTTTTGATGTTGATCATATATTTCCTGACAATCATGATGAGAAAGAGCTTCAAAACATTCTCTACCCATAAATAGTACTCGAACCTCAGATAATTGTTTTCCAGGGGTAACATAACCAGTTTCCTCTAATAACTGTTTAAATTGTTTCTTCCATCTAATAAAATAATTATATATCATAAGATCCAATTAAATTCAAAACCAAATTTAATTGAACTTGAAAATAGCAACATCTTTATTGTCATTATGCTAGTTAAGATCTGCTTATAACTATATAGTACATAAATAAGCAGTAAATTAAAGCATAGATTACCTTTTTGGAAGTCTGCACAAAGAAACGCCACCCAGAATGAAGCAAAGCATTAATATATTACGGATGAATATTATTGTCTAAATTCTAAATGATTGTATAATCACAACAAAAGCATATACAAAATTAAGCAATGATGTATAAGATTAAGAATATATGTATCAGCTTTATATTTGGCTCCACATTTTTTTACCGAAGCATTATTTTCCATTACATTACAATACTTACTCTAATCGACGTTGTTCCTGTTGTAAAGCATTAACATGATTTTTAAAAACAGTTTCAGCCTCTGGTGTTTCTAAAACGTCATAAGGAATTTTAGAGCTATTATTTTCTCCAAAATCATAATCAATCCAAGGTATGTCCTCGGGACACTCATAAAAATATCGATGAAAGTCAGGATGTTCTTTTATACATTGTTGTACAGAAGACCATTCCCTAGTGAACAAATATTTGTAATAAAATTATATTAATTTTTTTAACCTTGCTTAAAAATAAAGTTAGAGATAAAAAAATAAAATCTTACTCGTTAATTAAACTTGATATATCGGGACATAATTCATGAAGAATTCCTGGTAGCATATCCAAGTATCCTTGAATCTTCTTTGCCACTTGCTCATCTTTTAGCTTTTTAATATGTCTTCTAAATAATCTTTGCGTCGCATCAATTCCAAATAATTCTATGAAAGTTGAGAATTCTCTATGTTGTGCAAGTTTTTTGGATGCTTGTGACCATAGTGCACGAAAATCAGTAACATGTATACGGATTAATCTTTGCAAAGATTCAGTAGATGTATCTAATAATTCTTTCCTTGCTCTAGCTGCCTCCGCAAAAGGAATCACTTTACTGCGTGTTTTAGTTTTATCAATTAATTGTGCTACGATCGTAAAGGCCAGGTCAATATTAATATTTTCATGTGCAGAAGTTTCCACTATTAATATAGATCCTTTATATTCTTTGCGCATTACCAACTTTTCTGCTTCTTTAACATATTGCTCATTTGCATCATCGTTTTTAGTTGTGATAAGAACTATAGGCTTTTTCGTTTTCATTAAATTATTTAGTATGTTAGCTACTATTTCAACTTGTTTTTCAATTAATCTGTTAGGCACAACACTTACATCGAATACACACAAGAAACCATCAATATTTAGTTTACCGTCTGGTAAAACTTTTTGTTCATATTCCTTTTCAATACCCAATTGATTTTTGCAAATATACATAAGTTTTTCAGCACTAGTAATTTTAGTGGCTGCACATCTTTTTGCATAAGGTTCCATTTTACCACCCTTAAAAGGTTGAAAGGATGCATCGTCTATAAACTCTGTATGCTCTATTACTTGAAATTGATACTCTGTACCATCTTCAAGAGTCTTCATTACTTCACCCCAATACAAAAAGTGATCATTATTCACGACTCTGCCACTAAAATCCGACTGCAAAACATATAATATAATCAATGAACTTATATAAAATTATAATTATATATATTACAATACCTGTGATAATACTGAAATATGGTCCACATTATAATCATCGCTGAGAGAGCGCATAAAACGATTGCATAAGCATGACTTTCCAACCCCAACTTGTCCTTTATCTTTCTCTGTGCCAGAAAGTCCAACAACCGCAATATTTATAGCCTTGATATTATCACCTTTTCTTGCCATTTTTGGAATAATGTACAATTATAACACTTGGACAATTTTCAAATTTGAAAATAAATTATGTTTTTCTCAAGTAATGCTACTCAAGACATATTTATATGTTTTAAAAGTAAATGGTATTATGTCTTATATTTATTAGGAATTTGTTTGCATATTTTTGATCATAATATTAGATCTACAAACATGCATGAAAACCAGAAGAATTTTCTTTAGGTAACATCTTCATTAATATATTCTATTACTTCAATTTGTTTTTTCGCACTTGATACTTATATGTCATCACAACAACGCAATTTCACATATAGTATCAAAAAATTTGTATGAGCATATATGTTTAAATAACATTTGCCAAGATTTCATTTACACTTTATCAACACGGTATTCTTATTCCACATTTGCCAGTAATAATGTCATATAATCATTCCTTGATAATATACATATCTCAAGCTTTAAAAATTCTATGTATGAAACAGTGAGTTTCAATATCGGTATAATTTCAGAAATGATTATCTTTTATAAATGATGGTACGTATTAGAATTGCTGACATATATCTGAAAATTATAAAAACAAAAGGATGGATATATCTAACAATGATTAACCAAGATAATAAAGTAGATAGAATAAAAAGATTTGAAAAAAAGAAGCAAAATACAATTATACAAAATATCCTAATCTGATTAAAAAAATCAAACACTAATAATGTTCTAGACCAATTATTCATATGTTTTTTCAATATTTTAAATATTTCATTTTTTCTATTAAAATTTATTATAAAGGCCAACACACATGAACCAACTCTTTAACAATTCATTATTTTTACAATCACATACGAATAATTATTAATAAATGAAATATCTATTAAACGCCTACATGTAAATGTAATAGAAATTAACTGTTCTCTTTTCAACTGAAAATATAACGATGATTGCGTTAGTATTAATAAAATACTATATCTATCGCGTTAAAAAGTAAAATAGTCGATATCTTGGCAGAAGGATAATTTCGAAGAAACAAAACAAAAAGTCCAATATGTTTCGCAAGACGAGTCTTTTCAAAATTTTAGATATCAAAATAAATCGAATTTTTAAACGTAAGAAAGCAATAATAGAAAAATAAATCGTTACACGTTGCTGCGTGCCTAAGTCGTGAACGGTCCTCGCCATTCGTCAAGCTTATTACGTGCAATCATTGAATCGTTACATCGAAACGCACACATCAAAAAAATAATTAACACACGCGAAAAAGGATTTGTTCGAAATATGATTGACAGCTATGAATAGATCAATATGCAATGTACACATCCGCGCTGAATTTTGATAGTGACGATTGCGCGTACATACGTTTTTAATATGCCAAGTTATACACTTGACGAGATCAACTTTATATTCTTAAGATCATCGTGTACGCGTCACGCGTCAACGGAAGACGATTATTTTTATCTTATTTTTTTTTTTAATTAATTTTTTTTCATATGAAAATACTTTTTTCGTGAATACCTTAAAATTGATGTGCTATACCCTCATGAAAGACACAGATACATATATTTCTTCTTTGAGCTAACTCACGAGCCGACCGGCCGTTTCGTTGATACTTTTTGAAAATCCGATAGAACCTTAGTCGTTTTTTACCATGCGTATATTCTTTTAACTTCTCTTTCTCCATACACGCCGCACCAAAAAATGTCTAACACTTTTCTGGACAATGTTAAATTCCAGACGTGTAAATAACTTCACGTCAAATTTCGAGTACTGCACCGTAAAGGAGCCATCTTGGTGGGTGGGCACACTACGACTGATGTTTTTAATAACGACAATATAATATGCTATCCTGGGCAGGATCGTATCAACATTAAATTATTTTAACTACTAATTTTGCACAACTAAGAAAAGAATTACAAAAATAATAGAAATATTATAAATATTATCTGTTGAAATAAAGTATTATTACATATTAATAAAGAAATCTTCTATTCTCTTGTATTGAGCAATAAATAAAAATTAATAAATATATTATATCACTTCGATGAAGAGAAAAAAAAACGAATTTGATTAAATATCGTAAAAAATGAACGTTTTTATTCTTTTGGAAATAAATTTTGTAATATAAAAAAATATTTGAGTAAGGTTTTATATGAGATTCTGATTGGACCAACTAATGTAAGATTGTCCAATTCAGATTCAGCAAAGTTAACTTTCGTGTATCTTTGCTTCTTCACCATTTTGTATGTTTTAAAAGAAATTTTTAAACACAGACGTTTTATTAAATTAATGATAAGGTTAAATATATAAATTCAACAGCAAAGCAATATTTTAAAATACGTTGTATTAAATTACGGCAGAAATGATCCCAACTATCAAACGATAGTATCGCCCTCTAATAATTCAAAATATGCCGATAGTAATACATTAATAATGTTAATGCGCTCAATTATTTGGATAAAGACAATATTTATGTAAATATATTTCTTTAAATGGACATTAAATCAATTTTTCACATTATAAGAAAAAAGTTTGTAAGTTTATATAAAATATATAGTATATTTAAAATGTTTTTTTGTAATAAGTTAAAATATTTACACACTATATACGACAAATGCATTTAAAATCACGTGATCACCGCGGGTAATTAGGTATCCAATCGCATTATAGTCACATTGTTCGCTACTTTCATTTGCGCAGCATTCAAATTTGATAAATGATTATAATCATTTCTGTATTTTTTACTTCTCGATTATTGATATCTTATAATTTTTATTATAATCGTATACAAAGAAGTCTCAGGTAGTAGAATTAAAATACTTTTTGTAGAATATCAACACTTTTTTGGCATTTAATTAACAAACTTTAACAATTTGATTGAACGATAAATTTGTAAAATTTGTCTAATAATATGATTATCAAGTTTAATTAAATTACGTGACCTTCTAATAAAGTCATTTTTAATTGCATGTGTCGTATATTAACTCAATATTATTAATAACAATGGGATATGAATACTTTATAATTATTGTGTATACATAGTAAAATATAAATATTTTTGAACAAATTAGTTACATCTAATTCATTGTATGCATTCGATAGACACATTATTTTGAACAAAACCTTAATAACATAATTGACAGTTATTAGTTCATATAAGTATTAGCGCTGTAATTCACTTCTGGTAAATTGTCAGCACAGTACACTGTAGTTGCAGTATCTATAGTTAGTCTATGCTTTGGTCTTCTTGTATATAGATGTATCTGATTGAAAAATGGCTGACGGGGGAGATGCATTAAATACTTTATCAGGAAAAGAAGCTAGAAATACCGTCAGCGATGGTCCAGTTACTGATCCTGCTTCAAGTACTAAGGTAAATTATATTTAGAACGATATGTCATTGAAAATATCATCATTTATATACCATTCATGGTCATACTCAAATTTAATGACTAGTCTTATAGGGATATTTTTGGTATCTTATTTTTACAACTTTTTTAGAATCTCATTTTAATATTATATTATGTCTGAAAGATATATTTTTTTAACATTATGTGTGTATATGATTTGTGTGTATGTATATGTGTATATAAGGGTAAAAAAAATCCTTCAAAAAACCTGTATAATTATAAAGCGTGTATTGTATATACGTGTGTGTGTGCTTAGTTTCTTTTTTGTCATTTATTTTTGTTCTATATATCTATATTTGTGTTTCTTCATATCTTATGTTTGAATTGTTCGTTGTTTCATTATTGAAGTAATTCTTTTTAGTTTTATTTAATTTTTTATAATTTATATAATTTTGTATCAAATATTGACACAAAAATGTAACTTTATGTTAATTTGTTTACTCTTAGTTAAACTTTTAAAGTTATGTTAAACGAAGCAATAAAATACAAGATAATATGTGATATATAAAATTTGTTATTTTTATAATAGTGCTTATTATATTTTTATATTTAATACCAAACTATTTAGTAGAATAATATATTTGAATACTTAAATATATATAATATATTTAATTACCTTTAAAAAAATTGCTTATAAATACTTTTTACAGCTTTTATTTATATTTAAATGTTAATCTAAAAGGACTTTGTAAATACATATTAGCAATATATGATATTATCATTTATATAAAGTTCATTTGTTAAACAAATTACTTTGCAAATAGGTATATATATATATATATATATAGAATTACTACGTATTTGTAAGTGTTTTAATGCAATATACATGAATTTCTATGATAATGACAAATGTTTACACAATAAGAAGGATGCAGATGTACTATCTATTAATGTTATGCAACATGGAAACGCATTTTGTATAGTGGGTTTGATAATCTAAATTGAAATAGAAGACATTTGGTTTGGAAAAAGACTGTCTTGGTACAGCTGCTATACAGCTTCTATAATTCTATTCTAACAGTTCTTCGAATGCTTTCAAGCACATAAGTTGTCTCTATTATACTATTAAGTATAAAGTGATAGATCTAACTACAATTATACGTTCAGAATTTTGTGTTTTTATTAAAAATAGAAATGTCAGAGAAGGAATTGTCAGAGAAGGAATTGTCAGAATCTAAACAGGATTTAAAAATTGTATGTAAATACTTTTTCTATATTATACTTCTTATTACAATATGAATTCTCTTTTACTCCATTTATATAGATATATTTTTTCTATTATTATTTCAATATAACTTTTTTATAAAATGATTCATTATTGTACAAAATTTTAATGCATATATAATAAGTATATTTATCTTTAGTGGAACCGTTTGATTTTTTCAGTTTAATAACTCTTAAATATATTAGTAACTGATATAGATATTATTTCCTGTAATTAAAAGATAGGAAAAGACAACTTTTTAATTATATTTATAAAATCCAAGTTTCTCTGTTTTTTATTTTATTTATTTATGATAACATTAATTTAACATTATATTATCTGTGTGTATCATTAAGTTGATTTATATATTAAATATAAATTTATTTCAACATTTTAATATATTATTATTATTATTATTTATTTATCTATGAATAGAATTTATAAATTTAAAAGCATGTTAATTATTATATATTTGTAGTCTATCATTAAACTGCTTTTGTTGTTTTATATATATATAGTGTTATTTTCACAGTAGTCCGTAGGTTCGGTACCAATCACTCATCCATCGCTCATTTATAAGCCTAAATACACTACATGGGCGTGGCACAGTTAACTCTGAATGAATCTTTTTCAAGTATAATTAAAATAATTGTGGAATATTTAAAGGTTTTATTACTAATGTATGTATAACAAAAAATTTAATTAATCAGTACCATCCATTAATTCATTATATTATTGAATAGAACTTGTACTTCACATATATTAAGTATAATTGCAATGATATAATAAAATAATTTATATTTTATAAATTATATTATTATATTTTATATAATTTTGAAATATATTGTATTATTTTTAGAATTGTAATCATTTTTATTGCATTATTTTATATAATTTTGAAATATATTTTAGATAATGTCATTTAGAAGACATTATTATGAAATAATTTTTGCATTACACACATAAACATTGATTGATGCTTTATTTGTTTTACATATAAAGTATAACCTTTGGGAGCTTTGTACCAAGCTACGGACTGTATTATGAAAATCTAATGCATTTGAATCATGAAATGGTGATTGTTGTGATTTCAGAGCCTTGAGGCATCAAATAATGCCTTTCACGGCCCGAGAACAAAATTAGTAAGTAAGAATATGTGTATCAAAGACAAAGTAAATTGTACCCTCTGCCATAAACAATCTCTTGTCACTTCCTCAGGATTGCTTTAATTCCTTCCAACTGTTTAAAGGTGGTCCACGCCAATGGAATTGTCATTTTTTATCTCCTTATCAGTGAATACAGACTAATAAAGAGATGATTTACTTATCTTCATTTTCTCCAAATTTTTTGATGCAGAAAGTATTCACGTAGATAAATCATATATCATAAATTTTTTAGATTTAGTTATATATATATATATATATATATATAGAGATCGTTTAAAATATTTATATACTGGTATAAATCGTCTATATTAATCTGTATCTATATTAAACAAAATAACTTCATTCGCACCATTGAGTTCGTAATATTGTTTAATTCATAGCAATCTATTAAGTATCTATGAATGTTAAAGATATTTAATCTGCTTAACATTTCTAGGATTCTAAATCTGGGGCTTTAAAGAAATCTAGTCGGTATCGCAGCCGGTCCTTGTCTGCTAGCAGCACTGACAGTTATAGTTCTGGTATGGATATAATGATTATTTGTTGCTTTTGTGCTTGTTAAGCTTTCTTCAAATTCATTTTTTGAACAAGTAAATGTCTCATATGTGCCCATAATTATGATCTGGTCTAAGTCAAAATAAAAAAAAATGGGTTTAACAGTTATTTCAAACCACATTATTTTAAACTAAATTAATTCAATGTAATTTTCACGATATTGTCAAAAATGAACCGTTAGATAGTGTTTGTTATTTCAATATTATATAGAATTCATTTTTAGTGTTCAAATGTAATCCTTTAAATATCTCGAAACGAGAGATATATGATTTAGACCACTTTCATAATTATGGGCACACATATATATAAATGCAGAGCGTTTCGTAATATATATTGTAATATAAGCTATCTCGAATTATTGAAACATGAAAGTAAGTATAACTTTCAGACAAGGTCAAATAGGATACATCTTTGTATGAATTTTGTTAGATTGCTTTTATATTTCCTGTTCATTACTAAAAATAAGCCTCTCGTATTACGAAACATCCTTTATATATATATATGCTTTTGTGTTAATATTTCCATTATTAATTTACTTAAAATATATATGTAGTCTACAGTGTCTATATATTAAAAAAAAAATAATAACTGATTATAATTAATGCAAATGTGTTTCATTATTATGCATGATTTATCTATTCAAGTATAACTCATTTACTTTTACTTTCAAAACTATATAGAACATGATAACTTCACACTTGCATTTTTTGTGGCACTAACTGTTAATGTTATGGTATTTTGGTTCTATCTTAGCATCTTATACAGGAAGTTCATCAGATGAAGATGATGTATCACCACGTGAGAAAATTCAAAAGACGGAAAGAGGTTTTACTGACTTTTGTGTGCGGAACATCAATCAACATGCTTTTGGGCGCAGAGAAATTGAAATCGCAGAACAAGAAATGCCAGGGATCATGGCACTTCGTAAGCGTGCAGCAGAAGATAGGGTATTTCACACACTATTTTGTTTTATTTATTTATATAATTTATTAACATATTTTTATCCATGTATTAATTTATATATTTTTTAATTATAAGATAAAATTCTGATGTTTAAATAATTTTAACAGCCATTGAAGAATGCCAAAATTGTGGGATGTACTCATATCAATGCTCAAACAGCAGTTTTGATTGAAACCTTAGTAGAACTTGGAGCACAAGTACGATGGGCTGCATGTAATATTTATTCTACACAGAATGAAGTAGCAGCTGCTTTAGCCCATACTGGATATCCAATTTTTGCTTGGCGGGGTGAAACAGAAGAGGACTTTTGGTGGTGTATCGATAAGTGTGTGGCAGCTGAAAATTGGCAACCAAATATGATATTGGATGATGGAGGAGATGCAACACATTTAATGCTTAAAAAATATAATGCTATGTTTAAAATGATTCAAGGTAATATTTGTTTTTTTAAGGATAGAATTTTTTATTCTATTGTCCTCATTAAAATATTTTTTGAAATTATGGGAAATAATATTTTTACATTATATAAACGAATTGTAGGTATTGTCGAAGAAAGTGTTACGGGTGTCCATAGATTGTATCAATTGTCCAAGGCAGGCAAATTATCCGTCCCTGCAATGAATGTAAATGATAGTGTTACAAAGACCAAATTTGACAATCTTTATAGTTGCCGGGAAAGTATTATTGATAGGTATGTTAATATTAATTATGATAGAATTATTGTAAAAACAGCATTATATTTATATATATGCTGCTATAAATTCTTTTTGTAAGCTCGCTTTATATAGTTTAAAGAGATCCACAGACGTTATGTTTGGAGGAAAACAAGTTGTAATTTGTGGTTATGGAGAAGTTGGCAAAGGATGTTGTCAAGCTCTTAAAGGATTGGGTTGTATTGTATACATTACTGAAATTGATCCAATTTGTGCATTGCAAGCTAGGTAAGTAAACTTAATTTCACACCTGACTATATAAATATATTTCTAATATATATGCATTTTCTGTTTTACAGTATGGATGGATTTAGAGTAATGAAACTAAATGAAGTGATTAGAAATGTTGACATTGTTATTACTGCAACAGGCAACAAAAATGTAGTCACTCGGGAACACATGGATAAGATGAAAAATGGATGCGTAGTATGCAATATGGGACATAGTAATACAGAAATAGATATTGTATGTTTTAGTTCTTTTCTTAACTAATAGTAATGTAAAATTATATTGTTCAAAATGCTTTGATCTTGGCTTTTTTGGAGGAAGAACTCGTATTTCTTCTATTTCAGAACAAAAAAGAAATATATTGGTAAAAGATTAAGATCCCTTTAATATGTTCTTAACAGAACAGTTTACGCACCCCTGATTTAACTTGGGAAAAAGTAAGATCTCAAGTGGACCATGTAATCTGGCCAGATGGAAAGCGTATCGTCCTCCTAGCGGAAGGTCGTTTGGTCAACTTGTCTTGTTCCAGCATTCCTTCTTTTGTAGTCTCCATTACAGCTGCTACACAAGCACTGGCTCTCATCGAACTATTTAATGCTCCACCAGGCCGTTATAAGAGTGATGTTTACTTGCTTCCTAAAAAAATGGGTATTTATGAAAAATATATTACAATTTAAAAAGCAGTTAGTATTGTAAAAATTTAAATATGTACACTCAGATACACTATAATATGAAGTGACTTTTCTAGTAGAAAAAATAATTAATGAAAAAAATATTATTTTGCAGATGAATACGTTGCTTCATTACATTTACCAACATTCGATGCACATTTAACAGAATTGACGGATGAACAAGCAAAATACATGGGTTTGAATAAGGCTGGACCTTTCAAGCCCAGTTATTACCGGTTCGTAGTTTTATAAAGATGTAATTTTAAAAGAAAGTTCTTTTTTTCTTTCCTTTTTACAAACTTAAGTTTGTTTAGAGAAAATATGTTTTTGTAATCAATCATATTAAAATTAATATTTGATTTTTGTAATTTATTTGTTTCAGCTACTAAAAATGAATTAAGAATTTCTCTTTGGAAAATACGTGCAGTATTTACTAACTATTTAAGAAATTAGACTTGAAGTTACTGAAACTATCTTCTTTTACTGTTTTTAATTTTGTTTAATTTAATATGAAGGTTCATGTTGTCTAACAATACACTATAGTGTAAATTTTTCTTTACAAATGGAAAAAATTGTTTAGTATACATTGTGAAATTGTTGTAAAGATGTAAATTTCGCAAATTTTAATGTATTATCAGAATTTTTGTAGCTCTGTCAACATTTCCAATAATAATAATTCAATTGGATCTTATTAACTATTTATTTCAATCAGTAAATGCAGTGAAAATCGTTATTATAATGATTTTATAAAGATATAATTTTAATAAGCAAAGATATGCATGAAAAAATTAATTTGCTTTTATCGATTGATGTAATAATAATAGAAATAAAATTAAGTATATCAGATAAACTACAATTTTTAAATTTATAATATAAGAAAGCCCTTCATTTGAATATTGAAAAACTTATCGAATTCATAATTTTAATTATTAAATTATTGTAAAAACAAAATGTAAAATTAGTTTCATATATGCAGAAGGGTTAGTTAACAGAGCTAAAATATTATTATGAACGATTATGAAGTTACAGTCTTACAATTAATATATTCTTTGATTCATGAATGAATATCATATTTAATACATTAATTATTTTTATCGTTTGTTCTTGAATTATTTTCTTATTACATATATAAATGTTTGTATTTCAACTGCTTAGAAAATGATATTAAATTATTAAAAAAGAACATAGAACATGTTCTTATATACAACTGCCGGTTGTTAGAATTTGTAAAAATAAAATGGCTAAATTTTTCTGATATATCTTAGAGCTATAATATTAAAAAAAATAGAACAAATAATATGCAATATTATTATCAGTTTTTACATGTACACGATACATGGTACATTATTCTATATGTAAGTAATAATGTATCATGATAAATGTATTTAAAAATACTTAATGTTATTGGTCTAATGATTGATGTATACCTCATTTATGCACGAATATAATTGTTCATTATTTATATTATTACTTTAGGTAATTTTACGTGAAATTTAATAGAAATAAGCAATTAAACGATCGATATGCAATACAATAACTCAATAATTAGTAATATCATTGTGGAACATGTAAGTAACAGTATTACTAAAATTTTCTAGAATGGTCTAAGTCTATTATAAAATTGTATGATCTGCAAATAAATTTTTATACACGCATAGATACAATGACAGCAACTTATGTAATAAATTATAAATTATGTACTCATTTATTCTTTGCCAAAAATCGGAATAGAAAGATATATTGATCATTAGGCGATGAAATGGACAATTGAAAATTTGCTATATTAATATTATAGTAAATTAAAAACAATAATATTCAATATTGTTAATAATAAGTGAAGTCTTAGAATAGATAATTAACTTCAATTAAATTAAAAAAATAATAAGTAATATATAATGTTCACACCACAATAGGAAAGGCACGGAAGTACCTCATATATACATATATGTATGAACACTGTAAAAAATAGAATAAAATAATAGTTGCTAACCATCCCAATATTATAATACATACCAAAAAAATAATAGAAAATAAAAATATAATATAAAATATAAATTTACAGTATCTCAGCAATAAGCAAGAAAGCATCTGTGATTACATTTTTGACAATAGACATCTCGTAGTGTCATGCAATAAAAGTACATACTTTCAAATTATTAAACATCCTGATTATAATACCATTATTGATATTTTTTTAACATTTACGCTATTAAAAAGATACCTAAATTATTACCTTGAATAGATATATATCATTATGATATGTAAATTTGAAATGCTAAAAAATGATACGAATCAAAATTGTTGCTTCACTAAAAGTTATAAAAATTAGCACAGTGAATATACACAAGCAAGTTGTTACTTTGAGGTAATCAATATGCAATCAAAAACAAAAGCGTAATGTTCAAATATTATAGTCGATATATTTCAGCATAATCATTATAAAGTAACTATTTTCGAAGCACATATTGACAGCATTATATTTAAAGATAAGTTACAAGAATTCTTGTAAATATTTAAAACAATTCCTGTACGAGTATTGAAAATAAAATAACTTTGGAATATACACACTAAAAGAACATAAAATGGCAAGTTCTAACGGCATGGCATACAGACAATGGCATAATTGTTATTTTGTAGTACATTAAACTAAATATAACCACAATCTATGTAATAAGAAATAAATAATAAAACCAAAAAAGTAGTAAAAATATATTTTACAGTACTCTGTACAAGACCTCATTAGAATTATCTGAATAAAAAATGATATAAGATTAATTTTAAGATGAGCAATTCAGAAAATTTAGAATACTTTATAAAAGAAATGGCAAATAGTTTAAACACATATAGATATTATATATATATACGTATATATGTATACAATATAATATATAATATACAATATATATATATATATATATATATTATATATATATACTTATATATGTGTATACAATATATATAATATCTGGTTAATTAATTCAACAATCCAACAATCCAACGCACTATCATTTCGACTCCTTTATATATAGGGAGCTCAACAATATTTATAAATTCTGTTATTTTTTGTCGCGTGACGCGTCGCGCGCGCGATTTACTTACAGTGTAAAAGATATATAATATTTACATAAATAGATTCTTTCACTGGTGATTACACAAAGATTTAATTATCATCATTTTCATATTAGAAAATGTGTCATATATATATAGCAGTTATAAATTATCATGATTGAAGTCATAGAACTATTCAATTTTGCTATAATTAATTTTTTTCTCATAACACGGAGCTCCCCATAAGACAATGAAAAGAAACATTAAAAATCTTAAAGATCTATTCAGTATTTAACTAAATTCTAGAAAAATCGTATTATTACATACAAAAATAAAATATTATAATAGACATTGTATACATGCCTGATTTGTTAAAGGCAAATTAATAAAAATAAAAACATTGACACAAATACATCTTATAAAAATGTATAGCATGTCAGTAGTTCTATATTTTGTTTAGTCCAAACATTTTTCAATTTAGCCTAATGTGTATATTTTTACTGTGTAATAATGTACTATTTTCTTTTTTATAAATATGTAACAAAAATAGATAATAATAGATATTTATATGTACAGAGCGGATATGTGAAACGTATTAATATATAAGCTTGAATATGTCCTTAATCTATAACCCCAGACAGCAAAAAATACTTATTTAATTTAATATCTGTAGGTATTTGCAATATTATGCATATACCTTCTTTTAAATAGCTCATTATATAATCTCTTGTCTGGTTTTTTTTCTCAAAAAGATTATTGATCAATTTTTGTAGAGAAATAAATCTATAATTTGCACACACAAATTGCTTATTAAAATATTGTAAAATTACTATGCTAACAGCATACATTTTTAATTTTCTTTATACACATTTTATATATAAAATCGTTTCCTAAGGTTTTAATGTAGAATTAATTAATTTTACATGTGATACATAAATATCATTTATCGATTTTTAATTATACTGTATATCATTTTTATATTAATACTATGCCGTCCGGTAGTCCCATATTGGGGCCATGCACAAAACAATTGGGCAAGCTTTGATGACACCATTATGGTGCCATGAGAGACCGCATAAAAAAACAGTCCACTTAGAAAATATGTCAAAGATGTACGAAATAGCGAGAAAGTCTTTTACAAACAAAATAAATAATTAAATTACACATGACAAACATTAAAAAGAAATTTAATTTCAAAAACCGTCGGTGACAAGCGAAATGATCTGAGTCAGTCCTACCTGCGCCAAACAAAACAATTTCGATTAAACATGCGGACAGCATAGTATTAATTATAATATAATAAACCATTCGATGTTTATAAAAATGTACAAATCTTTATAATCCACTTGTATCGAAAGTCAAATGTTTTTTTATGATTTTTTTTCTCATTTATAGCTCATGTCCAATGCTGTAATTTTCCAATTTTTCATTAACCATATAGAAACATACATTCTTTGATTTAAAAGTCGGGCATTATATTCTATACACTTAACATGATTAAAAACTAAGTAGCATTTGCGTAATACACATATTGAATTACACATTCGCAGCTCGTTAATAATACCAACATACGAGTGCACATAAGCTCGTTTTTGTCAGAATTACATAAATGGATAACTCATCTATGTAATTAAGTAGATCATATTTCACAAGTACAAACAATATATTTCTCAAGTTCAAATATATTTAACAGTCACAACAATATTTTTGTAAAATATTATACTGTTTGAACTTGTAAAATTGCTCAACTATAAAAGTTCCAGGCCTTTTTTTATTCAAATATGATTTTGTGCTAATTATATTTTATACAGTGCCCAATAGGAATAAATTTATATTTCAAACTTGTAATGATATCAATGAATATAAAAAATAAATATTTATGCAAAGTAAGTCTTAATAAAATATTACCAATTTTTTGAATGTATTTATATATAATATAATATACTATATATAAATAATTATATATATATATGTAATAATTATTTTTCCAATATTCGTATCATTATGTAAATAATATACAAAGCAAAGTATTTACTGATAATACGTTTTTCTTGAAAAGCAGTAATAGTAATATATATAATGACATAAAAAAAGACCTGGTTGTAAAAACTCGCGTACTCTGTCAATGACTAGTTTAAAGTATGCATACATATATTCTTGCTCGTTTTGTATGACTTTTAATGGCATTGCGTTATTTAAAACTTTGTTAGAATAGAGTTCTTATCACATTGCTGATTATAATGTATAAAATCTCTACTAAATGATTTTTTTCATGATTAACAGTGTATAATTGATTTTTTCATTTATTTTGAATTAGTTCTTATTTATATAAGATATTTACTTATTTGTTTTGTTAACTTTGCTAATTGCTATTAATGATAATAAAATATCATAGAAAAACAATAAAAGTTATATCTACAATTGAACAATTTACATATGTAAATAGCATGTAATGTGAGTTTTAATATAATTTATTTGATGGACAATAATACGAATAAAAAATTGTTAACTTTTATTCTAAAATAACATCTCTATATATGGATTGCACTGTTGAAGAATAAGTAAAATATTTTTTACATATTTGCTTGCTTCAGTATTTGTTGGAAGTATATGATTCAAGAAGAATATTAGTATGCACATTACTATCCATAACAAGGATAATATAAATCTGTGATTAATTATTTTCGATTAATTTCATGTAACATCAAAGTAATTTTTCTGTTAAAATTGTATAGTTCTTTAAAATATACTGATTAATGTTATTAATCTAATTTACTTGAAAAACATCATTCTTATGATAATATATTGACGCTTAAATAACAATTTGATTACTGTGATAGCAGTAAACTATCAATAAAATTGTGTCACATAATTTACTTAATTTATTCATATTATTATGTCTTATATCTAAAAGACCCTTTCATCAGAAAATATATGATACAAAAGTAATACATTTTGTACATATTTTCACAAGTGAGGGCACTTAGTATTTAATCCTTTCTGCTATTACCACGAATCTGACTTGTGGTATCGATGAGGTACCAAATGTGAAAACCACGAGTTTAATTCATGGTACAAATTACAGGCCAAGCATAAGAACAAGGAATCTGATACATGAACCAAATTACAGGCAAACATTCAGATACGCTAATAGCTTGAACTTGTTTCGCGAGCCATTGCGTTGTTTGTTTTGACCCACGCACTGCATTATTCTTTTGTGGTAAAAAGAATTAATATGTACATGAATCACTAATATTGTGTTATTTATACAAAATATTGTGCTTCCTATCAGGATCTTTATCAGGACGCACAATATTTCCATCTTCATCTTTGACGGAAATTTAAAAATGCTTCCTCGAGTGCTAACCAGTCATAAAAATTACTGCATTTTTTAAATTATAAATAAACTATGTTCAACTGCATTCTTCAAGTACCTATGAATACATTGTTTTATTGTACCATATGATTAATTTCATTTTATCTCCACTATAAAGGAAGTCTTGAAACACAAAGTATACATTTTATAACCATCAAAAGTTAATTTACTTCTTCTCATTGCATTGTACTTGGCACAACTGTCACTTTACAATATTGTTCGTCTGATGACTGGCCAACAATATTTTGTGGCAATGGCTTATTAAATCTGTCATGTTGTATATAAGATGACGATGTTGTAGATGGTACTATTTGTTGATCTAATTTAGGATTTTCTGCTATGGTTACGTATCCAGAGCTTTTATTAGTTTCAAGTATCATTTTATCAGTACCCAACTCTTTACTTGGTTTTAAATTTTCACTTGATCGCCAGTATATAGGAAATGATGCCAAAGAATCATCATTTTTATTTTCGTGTATTTCTGATTTTGGAGTTTCTATTTTTTCTTTTTGCCGTTGTAGCATTTGAAGAACAGATGTTGCAAGAACATATGGTTTTGATGTTCCATCTGTGGTAGTACACGGAGCACATGATTTTTTCGAGGAATTTAATGAACTAATTGCAGTATTTGACTTTTTTATAATTTCAGATACTGATGCCACAGCAACATATGATTTTGATGATGAATCAATCAGAGTTTGTGTTAACATGGTTGGACTTATAAAAGAAGAAACAAATGGTTTATTACAAGAATCTGTTAAAGATGTCGTAGCAAATGAAGTAGATATCGTACTTCTTTTAGGATCCGTATTACTTATATTAAGAGGTTGTCTTAACATATCTATTATACCTGTTTGTACATATGGTTTATAAGTTTTATCTGAAATAGTAAGTGGCGTTATAGTTTCAGATGTTAATTTGTTTCGTTCCGTAAATTCCATGTTGTCGAGATCACGAAATGAGTCTGTAACTTTTTTATCTTTTTCTATCTGTTCTAGATAAGCTAAAGCTGTATAAGGATTAATGAGTTTTTTCTCCGGTTTATTACTAACAGTTTCAATCATTTCTGCATTTTCTTCTGATTCAGATATCATGGGTTTAGAAGCTCCTTCATTTGTAATGTAACTGTTAGCATTAAAAGGTTCTTTGGGAACCAAGCTTGGATTACTGGATAATTCTTCAGATGAAGGCATGCTAATATACCCTGTTGAGGACCACGTATGCTGAGAAGTAGTGTAACCTGTAGTATCAGTTAAATTAGGAGTTGATCTTGCTAAAGATGATGTGTCTCCTATTATTGGTTCTCCAGATTTTGCCACATAAGAATCCCAACGAGCAGTTTCTGTTACTAGCGCAGGTCTAGTAACACTAATATTTCTCTGACGAAGGCTAGATGAACCTTCCCAAACTGGTAAGGTTTCAAGTAATTTGTTAGGTGTGATTGGTATTGGATCTATTTCTGTTCCACTGTCACTAGAAACTCGCGAATTTGATGTAAGAGAAGATGTAACAGATTCTTGTCCACTTGAACATCCACTTGAATCGGCAGAAGATTGTCGTATATGTTGCTCTCCTCCTTTTTGAAGTAATTTCTGTAATAATAAAGATTATTATAAAGAAAAGTTAATTATATCAATATTACCATATATTTGAAATATGCCTTACCATATTTGGTGCAAGTCCTGGTGGTAATTGGACTTCAACATCTTGCATAGCCTTACATTTACGCCACATTCTATAATTAAAAGTTTAAGAAATGCAATATATTAAAAAAAAAGTAACCTACATCGTATAAAAAAATATAGATAAACTAAAAATAGAATAATTATATAAACAACAAACAAGAATTTTTACTTACATCTTAGTTGTATATACGATACCAAAAATAAAAGCTACAGCACTTATAATACCAATCATCCATATAACTACCCAAACTTTAAACGATGGTCCTGTAACATAAAGAAGTACATTAGATAACATTAAAAACGTCGAACAATAGATTGATAATATAGTAGAAATAATAATTACCATCACTGTAACAATTTCCTTCTCCGGGATCTGACCAAGGTCCTTTCAAATAAGTGTTACTTGGAGCTATATTAACTGCTCTTACACGAAATTGGTAAAGTTTTTCTTTACCTACAGTTTTACAATTAGGAATAGGTAACTGGGCTTCTGCAATTTGTATTGATTATTATATGATTAATTTATACAATATGATATTTTGTTTAATTTATATAAGTATATTAAATTTATCTTACCAGTTTTTGTACTATTTTGAATTTCACCATCACTAGAAGATATTTCGTAATAATCTAAATGACCAGCTGAATTTTGTGGTTTAGACCATTTTATCATAACTTGACTCGAATTCATAAATCGTACATTTGGTATAAAAATTTTTCCAGGTACACCTATTTCCGTGACTTTATAAATTGTTGGAGATTTTACACTACAAGCCACAGTACAAGCAACAACATTAACACTGTAATTTTTGTATGCTAAAAGTTCTTTTAATTCAATATGATTAGCTTCTTCAACTTTCTGCACATAACCATTGTAATAAACTTTATAATATCTAAGTACACCATTCATCGCATCAGGTGGTTTCCATGTTATAAACATTGTTGTGTTTGTAACATTAACAATTGTAACATCTTTTGGCGGTGTACTTGGTGCAGCTTCAAGAGTTGTGTTGTATAAAGGATCACTATGTAGACTTTCTCCATTTTTTGTTGTTACAGATACAGCTATCATATATGTAGTATAAGGTTTTAATCCATGCACTGAGCCACGTATTGTTTGTGGATCTGCTTTAATTGTTTTATTTAATTTAGGACCTTTACAATTAATGTTTAATGGAGATACTATAGGACAGTAATAAATAGTATATTTTTCTATAATGCCAATACGATCAGAACAATCCATTTTCCATCCAGCATCAATAAAGTCAGAATCAATATGATTTATCCATACAGATTTCATTTTACCTACAACTTTATTATGAATCACTGTACACGATGACCAAACCATTCCACTACTGCCTTTTTTTGTATTTACCGAAATTGCAAACTGATACACTAGTTTTGCATTAGGTACAGTCATATTATAAACTGTAGTATTCTTTGATACATGGACCCAATCCAAATAACCCTATATATGTTATTAAATTATTAGCTATAAAGAATTGTTTTTTAATATATTTATAATATAAAAAACGGTACATACAGTGCATTGATAAGGTCGATCGCGTTCATTATTGCACCAAAATATAGTGTAATTTGTAATTTCTGTATTCGTAACAGGTGGTTTCCATGATAATTCATATAAACCTCCGTCAAATGCAATTTTAGTAAATGCTATAGGTTCAGGTGGAGCTAAAATTAATTCAATATTAATATTTTTGTATTAAGCTCTACTTGTATATAAAATATATTTTTATATTCTTACTGTCATATTTGCTTGGCACAATTATTTGAGATCTCCCTTTACTCATACCCACTAAATTCATTGAAACAAGTTCAAAGCGATAAGTACTGTATAAATTTATCCCTTTGTATTTTGCATATGTTTTGGTTGTTTCATTTGGTAAAAGTTCTACTTTTCGTCCATTTTCTTCAACAGAATAAATCTGATATCTAAAATTTTTACCATTTTCCAAATGCGATGGTATAGTTTGCCAATACAGATATATATCTCTATATAATGTATTCTCTGCTATTTCAAAACTTCCAATATCAGTACGTGGTGGTAATGCAGGCACTAATAATATTATATATAAATATATATATATATATATGTATAATTATATAAAATATATTCTAAAGAATACATAATCTACAAAACTAATAACTGAACATTATCTTACATTCAGCTGGTGTTCTAAATGTAATACCACTGAATTCACTCCATTTATCTTCTCCTACTGCTAGTGCACTTTTCATGTAAACACGAATATCATAACCAGTATTAGAATAATTCAGCTCAGTAAGATTGTAATATCTTTTGGCCGCATGTATATCATTTGTAATATTGATAACCTGGAAACATCATAATTACAAAAATATATAACGTAATACTGTATATAATACTTTATGTTTATTTATAATGTATAATCGTACTTTCCAATCTTCTTCATTTTCCCATTGATTCTGATAAGTAATTCTGTGATGCAAACCAGGTGGAAAATTTTGCATCGGAAATGGCACACTCCAGTGCAACATTGCACTTTTTTCTGTTTTATTAACTACTGATAAATTTGCTGGTTTTGCCGGTATAACTGTAAAATATGAATAGGCAGATAATAGAGATCTTAGAATGTCTACTGTCTGTACCTAGTAGGTAGTAAAAAAACTCTTACTAATTGAAATTATTATTAAAAATGATTATATAAAATAAATGTATAGTTACAAACCATGAGCAAAATGGTGAAATTTATATGATACATTAAAATTTCCCAGCATATTTTCTATATTTAATATGAATAAGTAATACTCGTATGGTTGTCTGTATATTGGATTTGTAGATGCATCCCATAAACAAGTATTTGGTTTATTTTGTTTCGGGCAAGGAAATAATTTCCGGCCTCCTGCTCTCCCAGGTAACTTAAATAATAATGTAAATCTCGTAGTAACAAAATTTTTCACTGGATCCCAAGAGCAAATCAAATTTTCCCAATTGTGAGATATACAAGTGAAGTTTTCTGGCTCTTTGGGTTTAACTGTCAAGTAAAATATAATAAACAAACTTAAAATGTAATCACAAAAAAAATTCATTTTATAATAAACATGTTCATTATTGCTAATCAATTAAATAATGACATATAGAAATATATTGAATCTTACATAACATTACTGAATTAAATATTAAATCAAATATTTCCTAGAAATATTTGTGTAGGATTCGTGAAAAAAATTGGGCCGTTGTGGACTGACTGGACCGGGACTCGAACCCGGATCTTCCGCTTTTCGGGCGACTGCTCTTTATCCATTGAGCTATCCAGGGCCCACCGTCCAATCTCTTCACGAATGCCTAACTTAAGTATTTGGCATGGAGGTGCTCATCCCACATTTGTATGTATAATAAAATTTGAATTCCTAGATACATTTAATTTTTTATTCTCTTAGATACATTTAAGTTGATATCTTAAAAGATGATATCTCAAATTTTCCAAGATATACTCATGTCAAGTGTCAGGATTGCGCCAAGGTTCAGGAAACTAATAAGTGGGGGAATTCAATACTCAGTCTTGTTTCTATCTATCTTTTGACCCAGAGTGATAACCTTATATGAATGACGCATTTTCGTAGGAAACTCATTGCAGATATAAAATTTATCTTATAACTAAATAAAGTATCTATTAAAATTTTTAAAGATAATCAATTTAAAGTAAATAAGAAACATATTGAAAAACTTCTAACTGTTATGTAGCATTTATAGTATATGAGAAGATAATAATAAAATAAATACTTACAACCAATAACAACTTTATTCAAACAGACTGCTAAATGTTGATTATCATCATTAGATAGTCTCAATTTACAATAGTACATATCTTCTGCAGGTGATGGTCGCTGTACATACATTGATATTGTAGTTTCATTGATAATAGTAATATATTCTGGTTCCATTTCTTTCATGTTGCGAAAGAATACCAAATCAGAAGAATTCTTTCCAGGATATTCAAGGTCTATATATGTTTTATTTAATACACAAAGAATTTTCAGAGAATGACCATGTTCAAGAACAATATCACCATGTGGCCAAGTCCCTAGAAAATACAAAAATATTATTTATTATAAACAAATATGATAAACATTAATCCTACTCGTGACAAACCTTTCGGGAAAAACAAAAGAAATAAGAAATATAAAATCGATATTGACACGAAGCTTCACGTATCAAATGACAATACAAAGTGTTAATATTATCCTATAAAATTTATAAATATAAAATAAAATAAAATAATTCATTGCATGATGCTTTAAATATTATTATTGAAAATAAAAATATATTTTATATATAATCATTTTAAAAATTAGTTTATTGAAAAAATAAATATTTATTTGATATGCAATAATCACTTTGAAATTTTAAACATGTTCAAAATTTCAAAGCTTGCTTTTAATATATAAATTGTAATAAGCATAATCCTAACAAAAAATAATGTTTACAATTAATATTTATTTAAGCTTAACAGTACCACATTTTAGTCTGAATCTGGAACTGTATTTTCCCTGCATTAAATATAGATATATGCATTTGGCTCAACTTTGGAATTCCAAAAGAGAAAATAAGAAGCATATTTTATTTATAATTCTAGAAGACTAAAAATACAGGATCGTAGTAATGCTTTAAAAAAACTGTAACTTAATCAATAATTTGACTATGAATTTATATAGTGGATAATTTAATATATTGTAATTTAATAGTTTTTAATATCTTTTTAATATTACTAATCAATTAAATATATTAGCTAGAAAATATACTGTATATATATAATTCTTCTATTATATATAAAATATACTGTACTAATATGTAGATAATCTTATTATTAGAAATATACATAAAATAATTAGTAATATTCTATTATTTAGATATCTCTATGATATAATAGGAAATAAAATAATATAAAAAGTATTATAAAAATATATAAAACTCACACCCAGGAGTCCTTATGCCAACTGCACACTTACTGGGATCTGCATTGCAAATATTTGTACATAACATAGCAATAATAATTATAAAAATTCCTCTCCAAGTATAGCTCTTCCATTGAATATCTGTTGATTTTGAAACTGATAAATCTAAACTATAATCGGAATAATCTCTTGTTATTGAAGATCTATTTAACAAATTGAAATAGCTGCACGTGCACAAATAATTCTTCGTTAAATCATAATGATCACTTTGCCTTATTTCACATTTACACGTAAAACATTTAACTTCTTTTTCCAATGAACACTGACAAATGGAGCACATTTTACTTTCACATTTGCCGTATATCGGACAATCAGTTGATTCATTTTTTAAATGTGTTCTGTCCTTATGGTACAACAAATAAGTTCTGTCTGTGCAACCATGATTTGTTGGGTCTACGTAGTCTTTACAAATTTTAGACATACTATGTGCATCTGCAAACTGACATTTATCATGATTCAATATAGTTTTTGATTTTACTAACGAAACTCGATTCATTTCTTGAGGATGTCTTCCAAAATATGCTGTATTTGAAGACATATTTAGCTCCCATCACTAAAAAATAAATAAATTATCTCAGAAAGATCTTATAAAATAAATTCTTGATTTATATTAAATGTATTTTAAAAAACATAATGAAAATGTACCTGAACTTTTAGTTAATGATATAATTTTGTATAAGAACTTTCAAGGAAAGTCATACCACTATCATAATATGAACTTATGAATGGTAAAAGATGTGTTATGCATGAAAGCTTGCATGCAACTACCACATGATAGGATAAGAGATCAAATAAAGAATCAAAAGAAATTTAAAAAAATTCATAATCCATCAACACACAAAACAATGATTCATTCATTTTATTTACTGGAATCGTTTGTGAAGAAGGTAAAATATAAAAAATACCGAAGATTTAAATTATAAATCTGATTATAAATTAATTTATACACACACACACACACACACATTAGCGTTCGTATTAATAAATTCATATTACTATAATATCAAGTATAATGACAATTGCTCTATATATGAGGTAAAAATAAATTTAATTAATATTATGAATTGATTACTATAAGCATGCATCTAGTGATTAAAATTCATTAACATAAACATTGCATGTTACGGAAGGAATAAATATTTGAAGTATAATTTGCATTAAGTATTGCATTGTGAAAGAGAAAAATGAAAAGAAAATGGAGAGTTGCTAGATGTCCGATTCATTATTTTTAAATTACGAATGATTTTAATTTATAATCTAAATGAATGAATATATACGTAGATGTAATGCATGTTTTATCAAACATATTTGTATGTGTATATGAATGTTAAGTAATTGTGTATCAATGTAATACTACACGCTCGTGAGTATTATGTACGGGCAGACGCGTAGTATTGTGCGTGCTTCCGCGAACATTAACTGGTTAAAAAAATTGTCCGATCTGCGAAGAATACGAGGATATTATAAACACGAGCACATACGGTTGTACATTAGAGAAAGAGAACACAACGTGAGATCAACAATGCGTACGTTCTCAAGTACGCATATTTGCACGAGCGTGTACATATACACATATAGACACAACCACATATGTAGGAGCGTTGAGTCTCATGGTAAAGGAAAGATATGCCTCCATTGATGGTTTCTTACTAACAAAAGAAAAATCTACTAATTATACTATTTTATCTTTGTCATTTGACGCATGCTATTACAAGAAAAGATTCAAATATAAGGAAAATGATTGAGAAGGAAGGGAAGAGATGAAGGTATAAATACTAGAAGGAAGGTTTGTTAAACTGAATAGAGGGGGAGGTGAAACCTCACGCTCATGGGAAAGTCCAAGAACTTGGATGGAACAAGAGCAAGAGAGTAACTCACCCTCGACTCGACGCTGTCAAATCTCTCTCTATCTCTCATTGCAATTCTATGAAATCTAAATAATCCGTTTTCGTGCTACACTCCATTTTGCCGTGTATTATACTTCTTGAAAGGCGCGCACACACACAAACGTACACAGACAAAGCGCACGAGTAAGAGAGACGAAAGGAGCAAACTCGTTTTACCCGCTGGGTATTAATACTTTCTTCGATGTATAGTAAACGCCTTACCCAAATGTATTATTGTTTTTTAATTAAAAGTTCAAACCTTATCGGACGCAATTATCACAGGTCGTAATTCCTACACACGTCGTAATCGTGTAAATCGACCGGGTCACTAAATTTCTACGAAAAAATTCTGTTTACATTCCCCGAGAGTGGCCCAAGAATAAGAGAACATATATATGTGATACCACATTCTGGGTAAAAGTATAGCGATCAATCAACAGGGTTGCCAATCTAACGGCTGGTAAATGCATTTAGTTAATAGGTCGGTTTAGGAGGGATTAAGAAATATTAATACTTCCAATCATCGTTTGATAATCGATAAAAGACACGAATTCAAGAAATTTATCTTAATAATATCTTATAATTATAGTTTCTTTTAACGATACACCAACTTACCGCGTTCAAGAATTGCTACATGATTGACGTCACAATTTAACATCAAAGGCCATATTCTTAGAAACGAAGGCATAGGTTTCGTTGTTAGAACTGATCAAGCGAAAGCGCTATTTTTTAAATTATCTTTCAACAACGCTTGCAGTTTATCTATTTGTTGGAAATTCTAGATTTTTATTATTTTACTTCCTCTATTGCGTGATTGCTGAAAGATAAGATCATGACTTCGTATGATTTAATTTAAAAGCATTGGTAAGGGTAACGTTACTTCAGAATATTAAATGTATTATTTATTATACCAGTATGTTTCAACAACAATATAATGATGACATAATATTTTCATAATAACAATTTTTCTGCATTCAATTTTGCGCATTATTTTTAACGATTATTGATATTTTTTTAAATGCATTTATAGAATAAAAAAGTATAGCGTCGTTTAATAAATATAAGAGAAAAGCGTACATATAATAATCCTATGGTAAAGAGAGAGAGAAATCTTATTATAAATTTCGAGCAAAAGAATGAATAACTGCCTGTTTTATTATTAATCTATAATGGAAATGCATAAAATATAACTTTTACATCATAATAAAACGTAAACCCATTCCAAATATAAACAGACTAAAACATCTTATAATCATTCTACTCAAAAAGATATGTATATACTATATGAGGCTAGAAAATATTTTTATTATACATAATCATATTACTAAAGTGGATAAAAACATTTCAAAATATATAAGCAATGTTTTGGCAATATTTAATATAAACTGAATTGTTTTAGCAAAGTAAAGAAGATCTATCATATTTTAATTAACACACTATTATTTTAGATATTAAGTCAACAATAGTCAACATTATCATTTAGTCTTTAAAAATGCATAGATATATTTACAATTATACCATATATAGATATATATATGATATCCTACATAATATACAAATATGTATACCTATATATATATATTTATATATAATTATAAAAAATAAACGATGGTCATGAAGTGAATAAATGTGATCCATTCAATAGACTGCTGCTTCTTATCACATATATGATATGCGGCAGAAATTAGTTATTCAAACATATAATGAATTACGGTGATTTTTTCCACATACGTGTCTGGATGCATACATGTTGTTTCTTACATCAATGCTGAGATCTAAAAATACAATCTAATATGTTATTCTTACTTTATCAATAATTTGGGCCAAACAAGTTTCTTTATCTCTTGCTAAATCGATAGTAAAAAAATATATATTTTGTTGTTTTAAACATTCACGCTTTTAATTATCGCAAAACGATAGGAAGAAACTGATGTAAAAAGAATTTTATTCAATCTCATCCCACATTCAAAAATTTTCTATTTTTTACTTTAAAGCTCTTTAAATAATGTTATTAATAAACAATTAATATTATTATTCTAAACTGTACGTCAAAACAAAATGATGGATAAGAGCATTTGCTTCTTTGGTTGTACGAGCACTTACATATTAATGGACATACATATACACCTCAGATACGTCTTAATAAATACTTAAGGAAATAGTACTCCCTCTCAACTTTTAAATGCTATTAAGACATGAAATGGTCACAAAGATCGCTAAATAATTATAGACGATACTAAAAAATTCCTTATGTTCAGTTGAAGAGTTTTTTTTTATCAAGGCCACGCTTATGTTGGTGTCTCGATAAATTCTTATTAAAAAACAACAAGATTTATAGAAAAACACCCACAAAGAGAAACTTTAAATATTACCTTTACAGTCTAATTTCTCTTAAATAAGATGTGTCAAAATTATTGTTTTATGAAACAGAGTTAGAAAATTTGATATTAATTTCTAATTATTATTCACACAAAATACTACCTATTGCCAAAAAATAATATTGGTAAATGTAAATCTGAAACTTCATATTTTATAACTTTTATGATATTTACTGTAGCATATACTACTTTATCTTAATTGCGTGGTTAAGAATTTTTTTTAAAAAGTATGCAATTGTAATAAAAATATGTATAGTAATTATCAACTATAATTTTTAAGTCTGAATTTCTTTTTATGAATTTCTCAATATTAGCGTTATTAAATATTCACTTATTGTATAAACATTTAAAGTATCAATTATATTTATACCAAGTATGCTTACTATAGATATCTCTTTTTAGATGAACAACAGTTCAATAAAATGGAAAATCGAACTTTCGGATGTTTTTTAGAGTGCACACCCATCTTGTGTAATTTCAATAAATGCCTTTGTGGGGTGCCCTCACCAATTGGTCGAATACTTATTTGGTCGAGTGTGAGATTACTCTACAATGAATTTTAATACAAATTTATAATCATTTTGAAGGCCCAAGCATTCACTTAGTAGTTGTTATTAAATACGGAACACGCGCAAGGCACAATACTTTCAAGCTATCACACGTGTTAGGATCAATTACGAAACCAAACAATCAAAATATAAAACTAGCACCAATTTAGTTAAGATGAGCAAATGTCATAGTATCTAAAAATTAAACTCCTTGCAAGCTAAAATAATAGCTGCAGGATAAAAGCCACATTAGCTATCATTTTGATACGATTTTATAAGTACGAAAAATAAAAGAACCTTTCTATTTATTTATAAATATAATGAATGTAATTAAAAAAAGAAAAATACTAATATATACGTAATTTTCAATATAAGTTAATATTTAAAATTCCGTCATAATTTACCCACTTAGTTTAAATGGATATAAAATAGATCAAAATTTTGGTGTAGATATATAAAATACGTTATAAAGAGCGCATGTATATATGAAACAATTTCACACTGATCATATATATGTTAATATCTAACAATATTATCCAATATAAATATAGATAATAAGTTGACACAAAAGATCTTTTTCTTCCTTCGCTGACAATTGCATACGATATCAATCATTGAAAATCATTGTTATAAAATATTATACATAATGACATATGTTTTGGTTTTTTTCCCTTCCTTTTTTATAAAAGTAAAACCAAGTATATACCTGGTTTACATTTGATCTACGGAGTGCCAGAAGATATGTTTCATCTTTTCTTTTTTTTTTTTTTTTTTTTTTTTTGGAATTTCTTCTTATTTTTTGTATTGTCTATTGCCTGTCTTATCTACTTAACACATTACCTAATGTTATACCCTGAAGCTTGATTCCAAGTCATCAGAAGTTATACAAAGGCAAAATTAGCATTAGCATCATCATAAAAGATGTTTCGTTAATTTATGATTAATATGTTATTATTGAAATGGTTAATCTCAAATGTTCATATCGTAGAGATGTGGAGGAGCACCTACCACTGATGGCATTTGGCAGCCACGTCGTACTAATAGACGAACTGAAGGACCACCATTGCGAATGATTTCTATTGCTTCTGTGTGTGTCATATTTTTAGTATTGATACCATTTATTTCGATTATTTGATCCCCAACCTAAGAATTATTGCAAAAAAAATGATAAATTATAGATTTAGTTACATATTTTAAGTAAAATAGATACTTACCCTCAATCGATTATCGATAGATGCAGGTCCATTTTCAGCAATTTGCAGTACAAACAATGGCATATTCTGAAATTCCCGTCCACCACGTATACTAAATCCAAAGCCTCGAGTTCCACGCGTTAATTCAACAGCATGATACTGGCCTCCATCTCCTTCTCCTGTTGGTTCATCCTAAGTTATATAAAATAATTCATGATTATAAAAAACCTCAATAAATGAAGACATATATTATATTATATAAGTAATATGTATTTTAAACTAATATAATAACAATGAATACCTTTTGAGATAATGATGTACTGCTACAACAATCATCAAGAGGATAACCAATGGTTAACGTTACAGAATATCCAGAATCTTTGATTAAATTCACGATATCTTTATGACATACATTTGTTATATCAACGTGATTAACGGCTAATATATGATCTCCAACATTTAGTCGACCACATCGTTCCGCTGGAGATCCCTCAATTATTCTACCAATTGTAGAACCAGCTTTATTGACTGACGATATAATTACAAAACCAAATCCTTCATTTTCCATTCTAGTAACTGTCACGTCATAAGGATATTGAAGATTCATTTGTCTACTATGAATTATTATATCATTTGAAGCTTGGAGATTATCTTGTAAATGTTCTTGAGTATTAATACGGCGACGTATTCCCAAAGTAACTCGACCATTTTGAGCTGCAGCTATCATTAATTGTACTACATGATGGTGTGAAGAATTCATTACACTTTCTCCATCAACGGACATAATCAAATCACCGGTATTTAATCTGTTATCAAGATCTGCTGCACCACCAGGTACAATATGACCAACAGAAACCTGCTAACCATTACATACTATTAGTTCCAGTTTCCTTTTCATATCCACATATATATAAATTGTAATGTTTATTAGAACTAACCTGAGATCCTTCTTCTGTACCACCTACTATTCTAAATCCAAACCCTGTATCTTGTCTGACTAATGTCACAAGTGTCTCAATCCATTCTATATCAGGTACAATTGGACAAACCAATTCATTACTGTACTGTGGATACCTTTTAATCAAATAAACATAAATCGATTGAGAATGTGAAATTGATTATAAAAAAATTAATTTTAAAAAGCTGAATAAGACTAAAATATTAACATACCGTGCTATAGAACTGGAATGTGGTTGTTCATGTTCAAAACTAGTAGTTTCCTTTCGCTTATCCCATATTTCGCCAGTGTCAACATTTTGTTCTTGACCAATTGAATAAACATTATAATCTGTTTCATTATATTGGGAATGCGATTGAACGGCATACAAATCTTTATAATAATCGGAATGTATACTTCCATTTTGTTTTAATATATTTTCATGATGCGAAATGTTAATAGAATATAAATCATTATTTATATTCAGTTTATCATTTGTCACCCAATCATGCTTAGTAACATTTCTTAATAATTCATCATCCATATTGGCCATGGTAGCAAAGTTGTCTGTTAAGTTCGTAATGTTTGCTTTATATGGATCAGTATAATACATACTATGACTATATTCAGAATATTTATATCGAGTATCAAGTGGATTCAATTCATTTTCACTTTGTACTTCATTCCAGTTTGGTCTATTTGCTGCTGTAGGAGATTTAGGATGACTTCTTGTATCTATTAATGGCGTTTTTGGTCTGCTAGGTATTACTGTTTTAGATTGAGTACTATAAATATCTGCAGTAGGAGTCTTACTTCTGAAAAAATCTGGAGTGTTTTTTTCCTTATTTTCTTTAGATTTCATTGTGGTCCTTTGAACGTGCACAAGCGCTTCTTCGTTACGTGGACAATCCTTTAATACTTGGACAACCTCTGAGTGACACATATTTCTTACATTGATATCGTTTATGCTAACCAATATATCACCTTCTATTAAATTCTTACAACGTTGACGATCTAATATCTTTTTAACTTTTTGACCATGTGCAGAATCTGCTATAGTAAATCCAAATCCCATTGTTCCTTTTACTATAGCAATACTCAGAAATTCTGATTTGGAAGACACAGGAGAGTCTTTACATTCATTAATTTCACTATTTTCTGATAAAAGAATATCTGTACTGCTTGGTCTCTTAATTGTGTTTATTTTGTCTGAAATGCAAAGGTCAGGCATAGAATTCACAGACGTTGTAGCAAGATTTTCACCATTTTGCAAATTATGTACTGGCAAAAATGTAGAATCTAGAAAATTGAAACGTGAATTTGATTGTAAAGGAGGTCCTAAATCCATGTACATGCCTGGCTCTTCGGTCAAAACATCTAAAAGAAATTATTAAAATAAAAGAAATTTCATGTAGCAAAAAAATTATGAACTTGTAAATTAATTATTAATTCTAAATTTAATTTACCTGGTGGATTAACTGCTATTGTAGTAACAACTTCAGTATTTGGATCATTCGGATCAAATGGTAGTGGATAACCCCTACATACTTCTAATGTAACAGTTTCACCACTTCCAATTGATTTAAATACATTTACCATTTCATTATGAGTGAATCCCAACACGCATGTATTATTTACATATACCAATACATCACCTATCAAATAAAATTCGTTTTATTGTATAATTTGATTAACATACGAAAAAATATATAATATGTTTAAAATAAATGAACCACAAAATTATACCAGTTTGAAGTTTTCCATCCAACCATGCTGGACCATTTGGAACAACACTTTTTATTTGAAGAAATTCTTCTACAGTATCATCTCCACCAACAATAGTAAAACCTAACCCTCTTGCACTTTTTATTAAAGTAGTTCTTATTCTTTGACCCTTTAATTTATCTGGATTTCTCGTAAAATTTGGACTTTTCCTATCAATTAAATTCTGTTGCGCTCGCTTTGCTTGCAAAACCGGATTTTCGTATTGTGTCCTACGATTTACATGATCAATAAAATATGTCCCATAGAGGGTATCGTCTATCTTTTCCCATCCATAGGGTAATTCATCATCTAGGCACTCTTCTAAAGATCTTTTTTGAAATTTTGATAATCGTGGATCCAACCAATGAGATGTTCCTGTATTATGACTAAAACATATTAAAAATATATGTATTTTTCACATATTTGTGTATTTTCTTACTTAATTAATTAGTGATCTATGTATACATACTCTATAAAATATACTTCTCCAGTATCCGTAAAAGCCTTTTCCCAATTTGGTGGCAAAGGTCCAAGTTGATCTTCTGTAGCTTGATTACGGTTAATACCACCTTGTTCTTGATCCAAGGTACCAGTACTTTGTTCAGATCTTGTATTATACATATACGTTGGTGGGATACGGTGATTCCTTTCATCATTATTGGCAAGAGTTAATATTTCTTTATCCATGCTTTCTCCTTACAAAATCAAAAATATGATAGATTTTAATATTTAATTAAATAAATAATTAAATTCAATATAACTTATTAATCTTACCATCATTTGGATTGTCAACGGATGCTGCATCATCTGTTTTTGTAGCCATTTTAAAAGGCTATTTAATACCACCTCAGTACCCTAAGATGATACAAAGAAGAGAAATGTTTAGTGATATATAATTTATTTAATAACTCTTAAATATACATGTATGTATTTATCGTATAATTAATAAAGAACACACGAGAGTGATCAAGGGATATACAAAAATAGAACAGATATTTCCTTCTTATTGAGGCTGTCAGGCGCGTTAACGAGGACAACAATAGCTACAGCAATCGTCCATCATATGCACTACTCGAACATTATCGTATTACAGATTCGTCATGTTTATCACGATAACGCGCATATATACATATATATATACATAATTATAATCTTAGTATATACACACCCCATTTCTCGAGGACAAATTTAAAAACGATATAGTCGTATTAAATTTATTGTAAGGACTTTCGTAGAAGAAAAGTACGATACTTAATAAATAAGAATATTGATGTTGGCGCAAATGTTTCCGATAAGAGAGAACATCGAGCGTCCTACATCTTCAAAAGGCAGGTGTCTCTAGGAAAATTACATAAAGCAGAAAAGGAACGCGACATAGAGCGGACGTGAATGCATTCTTAGGAATGCATTCACCCAATACTCTGAACGCAGCCCACATATCGTGCATCATTGAATGGAACTTTCTATTCGCAAAGAAAACGACATAACTGTCTAACAAAAAAGATACTTAAATAAAATATGATAAATTTCACGGCATTATAGAATATAAGATTCGTAAAACTACGCAATTTGTAAACTCTTAGGAAGAAGGAAGACTAATTATATAGCTGCTTGTGTAAGCCATAATAGCTCTTATTATACATATATTCTTCGTTAAATATATTTTTTGGAAACTTTATTAGACTCACGTTGCTTTTGCTGTTCGTACGTCCTTTCACGCGCGACCATCATGCTTTCACCCCACGATGACTTCTCAGGCAGAGATGCGTCGACACTGAATCACTCTCATATCACGGAAATGCTCATGGTTTCAAAGAGATATCGGTGAAACGTAGCGCACTCATGCAATGCACGATCACATGCGACACTATACGGCATTGCCATCAACCGCCATCGAATGCAACAAGGCATTTAACTGTAGGAGACCAGTCACATAATAATTCTTAAAGTTTCATCAATTCTATTTGTTTTAATTATTTTTTCACAACACACACACATACACACACACATTTATTTTATTCAAAAATGACTCATTGATATATTTATCATTACAATATATAAACTCATATATGTATGAACAATTTTATCTTAAGACATTATAATATGTTAAATATATTTATATAATACATTATACATGTTACAATGTCTATTATTACTCATGTAAGAAGAATAAAGTTAATAATAGCTAAATCAATTAATCGAAGTATTGGCGCTAGTTTCGCTTTTAAATACGAGAAGCGCGTACAATGTATAAGAATTTAAATTTTAGATTGTTCATAACAATTATTTATTTTAATAATATTCTTGTTTATTAATTTTTAAGTAAAGTATAAAAATATATATTTATATAAAAAAATAAACATCATAATGTAATTAATGCAACGATATAATTGATAAACAATACAGTATTATCAAATTTGCAATTCTTTATCATCTGGTAGGTTTTGAAATCGTTGATTAATATATTCATCTGTAGTTTCACATAAGGATTTTGGATTCCACGTTGGATTTTTATTTTTTGTAATAAGTAAAGTTGTAACACCTTTAATAAAAATATCAGATAGTTATGATTTTTTCATTTTTATATATAATATTGATACAATTATATATACACTCCTCATTAAAAAGACAGCCCAGGTATGTCATTTTTTATTTCTCAATAGCACATGTAATATTTTACGTCTGGAATGAATAATATCAAAACAATGTGCTCTCAAAATATATATATCTTTTTGGACGCGGAGTGTATATATATATATATATATATATATATGCTAAAACGTATATGCATACCTTCATAGAAATCACTATTTTTGTGCAAACAGGCACAGCTTAACCTGTATTCCATTCTTAAACATTCTCTTAAAGTAAGTTTACTACCTTCTTCTATACATTTTTTTGTAACTTTCAGAGATGTCGGTGACATTTTTAGTAGTATTTGTACTATTTGACTTGCCCATTCTGAATTATCTTTATTTAATCTTAATCGTAGAAAAAAAAACAAGAGAATAAATAATGTAAAGGTAGGAAAATAATAATACTTATTTTATCATACCTTTTAATTATTTCTTCAACAGAAGATGAAGAAAAGCATTTTTCAATTTTGTGTATATAAGGTGATAAAGAGAATTCATTCATTAAATCTTTAGGTTGATATTTATTTAAAACTTGTTCAATGTCATTAAAATTCAATTTTAATAAATCATCTTTTAAATCCTGAAGTCTAGCAGATGGAATAAAATGAGTAGCAATGCCAGCATGAAGTACATCAATGCCTAAAAGCAGACTTTTTGTATATTTTACTCAAATCATTTAAATTTTATTGTTAGATCTTATTTTACTACCTTGCAATCTATGTCCTGTGAGCCCTAAATAAAGTCCTAATTTTCCTTTTAATCTAGAAAGGAAGTAACTTCCTCCCACGTCTGGGAATAATCCTATTGCAGTTTCAGGCATGGCAAATAAAGTATTTTCAGTTGCTATTCTGTATTTTCCATGTACAGATAAGCCAGCACCACCTCCCATTGTTATTCCATGTATTATTGCTATGTAAGGCTTTTTATATGTGCCGATTAAATAATTTAATCTGTATCAATATTTTACATTTTCAAAAATATAAATTTGATACTAAACAAATGTTTTAGTCAACTTAAATTGATATTAAAATTTCAAAACATACGTGTATTCATCTCTAAAGAAATTTTCACCCAAGAAACTTCCGTTTGGTTTATTTAGAGAAGTAATTATGGCTTTAACATCTCCACCTGCACAAAATGCTTTATTTCCAGCACCTTCTATTATAACAAACTTTTTGGTAGATTCCCATTCTTTCAGAATTGGATATATTTTTTGTACCATGGAAAGATTTAATGCATTGAGAGCTTTTGGTCGATTCAGCGTTATTATACCCTTATCCTTTATCTACATTTTATAAAAAAATGTTTATGTAAACTACCAAATATATATTTGATTCTTAACTTACCTCTTTAATGAGAACTTCATCATTATCGGTACTTGTATTCATCATTCTGTTCTTTCCTGTATTTTTATTAAGTGCTGGAATTTCATTAGGAGGTTTAGAATCTGGCTGAATTTTAGGAAGGACAGGTTCAATTATAGGACCTAGCATGATTCAATATATGACCATAATATTATACTGATTCTTCATTACAAATATACAATATAATTGTTAATGTTAATAAAGATAGATAGATTCTAGAAAACCTGGTATTTCTATAATTATAGGTTGCATAGGTGGGCCTTTTGGAGACTGGTTAGGTGGTTCCTGATCAGGTAAAATGACTGGTTTGGGATTTGGGGTATTTGAATCAAATATTTGATTTTTACCTGAATTATCATGTACTAATAATTGCCTAACATGATAGCACGTGGTAGATATTCCATAGTTAAGCTTTCTTGTAGTATTTTTAAACTGTTCCAAAAGAGAAATGCGATTAAATATTGATTGATATTTATATAATAATAAATTTTTCATTGTAATTACCATATTTTTCTTTTACTACAATAAAAATATGACAAGTGCAACTTGTTAATTTGTTGAGGTATTTGTAAAAGAGGTTACAAGTCTTTCAATCTTATATCACATTCATTTAAATTATTATAGCTATTATGTAAATAGCATATAAGTCTATATTACATAGTAATAAAATAAATAGAGATAGAGATAGAGATAGATAGATAGAGAGAGAGAGAGAAAGAAAGAGAGTACATATATGATTAAAAACAATTATTAAATGCGAAATCCCTTAGCAGTATAACTTAATGAATGTAGCTTCTAAAGAGCACATGAAGTAATTAATTCTTTTTGTTTATTTGCAATATCATTCATTTCTATTATCATTTATAAAAAAATAAATAAAAATTTATTCGTTTTTGCAATTATAGAAATATATATATATATACGTACTCGTAGTATTTGTATTATTATTACGTACGTAATAATATATACTATTAATGTCTAATAATATAATATTATATAATGTATAATAATATATAAAATATATATAATGTAGTTTTCTTTTATAATTAATAGTTGTGCATTTATAAAATAATAATATAATTTGTACATCGGTTATTGTAAAAATATGTTATTCTTAGCATAAAAATGTTTAAATCATTAATATATATTGGAGGAAAGTCAACATTTAAAATTCCCTCCTAATCCTTTTTGTATAAGATGGTACATACACGGTGATATGATGTAACTTGATGTAATCTTTCATTCTCATACGAAACGTTACGTAGAAAATACGTGTGAAAAGATTAGTAATTTTTGATATCGATTTGCCATTGATCACCTTTCCAATTTATTCTTTATATCACATTCCAAAACTTGCACAGTTCTATTTAAGGTATTTAAAGTTATTAAGAAAGTATAACCTATTAATTTCGCATTTAATTAAACTATTGCAAATAAAATTTTTAAGGTAAATTCAATTGGAGTGCAGAAAAAATGGATCATCGAATGTTTAAAATTTACAATAAAGAAGATTTTGATCGGATTACTAAAGGCATTAAAGTAGCACAATGCATGCAATCACGATCATCTTCTGGTTTGTATATTCAATATTTCATTTTACAGTTGCTGTTATTTACTTTAAATAAAATCGATTTCTTGTTGAAATATCTGTGATTATGAATTAGCGTTAATGAGATCGATTCTTTGTTAAGACATTTTATTTAACATAAATTAGCAGTTTTCCAAATTGTTAAGGTATTTAAAATAAATACTTAATGATAAGATTTTATTATATTTACTTTAAAATAAGAATAATATCAATATACAGAATATTATTTTTAGTACAATTTTTTATAGCATGGAGATTTATTATTTATTAATGTAAATTATAATAACATAATATATTAATGTTTCTTTCATTAATGTTTATGTGATATTGACGTATAAATTATACATTTGTATAGATACTTTAATTAAAAATGATTTTTTAGTTCCAGAAATAGAAAATATATTAACTCAACTAGAGGAATTATCTGTATCAGATTCGTTGAGCTGTTCTTTTTGTAATACTGTATTTGAGGATAAAACGCATCAAAGATTACATTATAAATTAGATTGGCATCGTTATAATCTGAAACAACATTTGAATGGTCTAAAGTCAATTAATGAAGATAACTTCAATCTTTTAGCAGATAAAGGTATTTAAATATTTATTTAAAATTATCTATTTTTATAAAAGATATAAATTTTGATATATATTATATACCATACTTTGTACCAGGAGATGTATCCAGTCTTTCTGGTAGTGAAGTAGATTCTGAAAATGAAGACGATACAGGTACTTCGGAAACAGGAGGATCATCAAGTCTATCTACGAAAAATAACGAATCAATGAGTAAGAATGAAAATTCATCTATTATAAAAAATAAAAAACACGAAAGAAAGGGAAAATCTCAAGAAGTAGTATCTGATAGTTCAGACACAGAGTACAATGAAGAAATATCTAAAAAAAAAAAGATTCAAGAATTACTTGCTATTGCTAGTCGTCATTCCAAAGTATTTTTTGAAAATGATGATGGAAATATATTTAGTATATATAGATGTTTACTTCATAACAAAAAGGTTTGTTAGCTATTTGTTCATTTATTATACAAAGCATAGATTTAAGTTAAATACATATAATTTTGCATGTAAAAATGCAAAAATTGTATCTTGTAACTTGATCTACTTTGTTAGAATCACTTGGCGTGTCTATACTTGCCAGATCAGGAGAGATGCACTTACGTTTTAGGAAATTCCTGAGGTGGACGATGAGATGATAGCTCAGGCAATGAATAGTGGGAAGAAAACATCATGGACCATTATCATGGTTGGAGGTGGACATTTTGCAGCAGCAGTTTTTCAAGGTTTCTAATCAATTATGTAATATATATATAAAAGTATACATTAAAGAAGTTACCTAATGGTAGGCGTTTTTTAATATATTTCTATTTTCTAATTACTATGCTGTTATACTAACTTTTTATTTTTAGCTTTATTTTTAGCAAATCATTGACGGATACATTGATTTATAATAAAGCATTTAAAATAAATATTAAATTGCTTGTTCTTTTTTTAAATCTGTAAAAATATAATAATTGAAGTTTCTTAATTTAAATGGAAATATTTAATAAACAGTCTTCAAAAGAAAAGGGATTTAAATTTTGTATTTTAATTTTATAAATTACAGATGGAGAATCAATTGTGCATAAAACCTTTCATTCTTATACTGTTCGAGCCAAACAAGGTTCTGCACAAACTTCTCGTGACAGTCGTTCATTAGGCAGTCATACAAAAAGTGCTGGAGCAAGTTTGCGTCGTTATAATGAAGCATCTTTTATACAGGTTTATAGTGAAAAATAAATTTTACATATAATATATTTTCATTTGTATAAATATATATATATACTCATATATGATTTAGCATGTGCAAGAAATATTGGAATTATGGACGAATTATATCAACAATTCATCATTAATTTTGTATAGAGCTGTGGGGCCATATAATCGTACTATACTATTTGGTGGTAAAAATCCACCTTTAAATAAAAATGATTCTAGACTAAGGCCATTACCATTTCCTACTCGAAGAGCTACATTTAGTGAAGTTAAGCGTGTGTATGATATATTAAGTACAATAGAAATATATGGTAAATATTTATTTTAGACTTTATAATAAATTTTATAGTACAATATTTTACATATTAATATAATTTAGGTTCTGCAGCAAATTTTACTGATTGTTTCCCTATTTCACCACGACAACCACCACGAAAAAAGATTTCAAAAATTGATTTAGTAGTTGAAGTACCTGAAGAAGAAACAAATTCAAGTTCTAATGTAAAATTCACAAACAATGTCAATAGTTTGAAAAATAATGAAGACATTAAAATGATAATGCAATCATCTCCAGAAAGGCAACATAGAGGTTCTCGTGGAAACATAGACAGAGCCAAACCACGTAAAAGTCCATGCCGTCCTTTGCCTGGTATTTTATTTTTTTATCGTCAAATAATAGCTTACAATTACCATCAAATATGTAATGAAAATAAAGAATTTATAGATTTTTAATTGTATTTTAGATATTGTTATCAAATTAGCTTTGACATCTACAGAGTCTGAAACAAGCGAAAACAATGATTACACTAATGATCAAGTAAATATGCCTCTAGTTGAACATAATATGGAAATTGAATTCCGAGAACATTTACTCGCTTTTCAGGATACTGTACCACGATATATGAAAAATAAGAAAGCACGTAAACAAAAAAAAAAAGTGAAAAAAAATCACACTGATGGTAGTGTAATTTTTATAACAATATACTTGATAACATACATTTATTTTATTAATCTATTCAATCGTAGAATGATTTGTATATTATGTAAAAAAACATTTCTCTATGAAAGGTTAATTTGTTTTAGAGTCTATAGTAAATGAAGTATTACATAATGCTAAATATCAATTATGGAATGCATGTAAATTGGGTGATAATGAATTGTTAACTTCTACAATAGATATTTTATTAACTGAAATTAAAAAATTCGAGTCAACATTAGGAGAAGAAAGCAACGTAGATACTCGAACTTCTTTCAATATGGAAAGTGTGATCAAATTGTTAAATGATGGAAATGAAGATGGTAATACAATGCTTCATTTAGCAGCTATTGGAGGACATTTAAAATTAATATGGTAATATATTTACGAAATATTATAAATAATGTAGAAACTTTCTTTTTATCATTTAAAATATCAAAATCTAATATGTCAAATATTATCTGTTAAGAATTTGTTTTTATTATTATAGGGCGTTGTTAGAAATTGGGTCGAATCCTTGCAACAAAAATAAAAAATTACAAACACCTTATGCAGCTTCAAAAAATAAAGAAACTAGAAATACGTTTAGAAGATTTATGGCTGATTACCCTGATAAGTTCGATTATAGTAAGGTATTATTTTTATAAATTATTAAATAGTTCTAATTATTTACATACATATAAAAAAAATCTAATATTTTTGTTAGTCACAAATACCTGGACCACTTAATGATGAAATAGAACAAGAAGAAACGGAAAAAAAGAGACAACAAAGAAAAGTGAAACGTGAAAAAGAAAAAATTAAAAAACGAGAATTTGAAGTAAAAAAGCGGGAAGAAGAAGCAAAGCAACGATTTTTAAATTTGAATGATAAGGAAAAGGTATATCTTATTTTATATTAACATTTTGGAAATGAAAATATAAAACTAAAAAAATTTTGTTCTCTTTTTATTATTATTATAGAGGGCATTAGTTGCAGAAAATATTACAAAAGAAAATCATACTGTCCGATGTTTTCAATGTGCTACAGACATTACAAATCAGGTGCCTTTTAATTACAGTTCAAATTATTTCTGTTCTATGCCATGTTTAAAAGAACATCGCCTTCATAATAAACAAGTTCTCTAATGCAATAAAACATACGTTTAGAATAGGTTTTATAAGAATAGAAATAGAAATAAAATAATGTAGTAACGTGCTTTAATTGTATAATTAAGCTAATATTTTAAGTAATTGTTCTCATAATTCTACATTATGCATATAAATAAACAAAATGTTCTATACATAAATTCAATATTAAATGCTGAGATATAGCTCAAATATAAAAATTTCCTTTTCTATTTATATTCTACATCTATAACTTTCCTTTTATATTTATATTCTGATAACTTATAATTTATATTTACTATATACCATTTTAGTTAAAATTTTTTAATTATTATATTTTGCATAATAATGTTTATCGAGATGGATGTTAGGGCATGTATACATTTGGTGATATATTTGGATAAAAGAAATACAAAAATATGTTTTTCAAATATTTTTACTGAAGATGTATAATTTAATGTCAATGATTTTAATAGTCCATTAGTATTTGTTTATTCAATTAAAGCAAAAGTTTCATAAAAGATAAGAATTGCACAACTTATAAAAATGTTCGTTTTTAAATACTGTATTAAAGAGTAGCTAATTATTCCATCATAAATTCTGCCATGTCAGTTTTATCTTCGTTCGTCAAATTATTATAATTATGTTCAGAATTATCATATAATAAATGAGTTAATCGCTGTGCACTACGACTTAAATTGTATGCACTGAACGGGAAAAAACCATCAAGCGTATATTCACAAGAATCATTATCATGAATAATTGGTAACTGATTTCGTGAATTACTTTCAATTATTGTATAGCAATATGCCAATTGATACGTTCGTGATACGTCAGCAAAATTATGTACAATTTCGGATTGACACGATTTAAGAGGGTTCAATTTGCACGATATAATTCTAGGTAGATCTAACTCGTTTAGATACATCATATCTGTAAAAATTAAAAATCATATTAGCATACTGTATAATATATATAAAGTAGGATATTTAATTAATGAATTCACAAATATCTTCAATTTAAACTTGTTAAGACATATTTGTATACATTAAAAATAAAAAAGATAATTATGTGTTTCTAACTTAATTATGTGTTAAAAAGTGTGTTAACTTTCCGTCCTGTATAACTAGATTTATAGTACTTACGATTTTGTGTATGAATAAAATCTTTACATCTAGCAGTAACAATAAAAAATAATGCTTGACAAATAGAATAAAATATATGATGATTTGTAGGATTATGACTGGCATACTCTGAATTTTCTTCTCTATCGATATAATCATGTATCCACTTTGCTAATTTGGACAGTGTTCTTTTTACTAATCTGAAATAATTATATGTTATAGATATATTATTTAGAACATAAGAAGTAATTTTAAACTGAAAAATGAATTAAATTAATAAAACAAATTCAATAATTACCCCGATGATACGAATGAAGCTACACCAACTAAGCTTGCAATATATGATGCAGATGTATGTCGTAATATCGTTGGTATATTTGGATTGGTTGTTTTTTTCCAAAGCCAGTCTAAGAAAGCTTCTACAATTGTTGGTTTAAAACTACAAATGTATAACATAATGAACTGCACATATCGACATTCATATGTGGGTAGTATTATTGCTTCAAATATTTTTAAATAATCAAGATAAAGTTTTTTTACAGCTTCCATGTTTAATTCATCTTCCACGTAACAAGTATCATCTATAAATTTAAGCATTTGTTCCATGCATACATCCAAAGTATGTGATAATGGATGTAATGGTTTTATATTTTTATTTTCATTATTTGTATTTTCATCAATGTCGAGCATTTCATTATCACTCTCCATTGCACTATCTTCATCATTTCCGTCTGATTGTGGAATATTTACATCTAACATTACTAACCTTAAATACATCACAAAAAAATTACATCTTTTTTTTTACTTGTTAAAATACACATTTTAATGACAAATATTATTTTGTACATATTTACCTGTTAATAATTAGAGTCAATATTTCTGATTGTAATTGAGGAGCATACTTTAATATTTGAAGTAATGAATAGATATAAACTTCATGAATATGTGTACCTAGTACGATATATGGAAATTTTGCTCTTACTGATTGAAGTAAAAGTTTAGTAGACCTGGAATTTATAAAGAGTAATTAATTTTCTTGTATTATATTTATAAAGGACTTTTAAATTAACTATTAAGAATTTATAATACCTACATTGGTACAACTTTCAAGATTTTTCGTAAAACATCATGTACATGCTTCAGTCTCTCTATATCTTCTTTTCTACATTCTCCTGCTTCCCACTCTTTATTATCACTTTCCACTAAAAATTGAAAATAATTTTCAATATATTCATTCATTACTTTTTTTCTTTTCAAAAAGTAAAGTTTAAAGTATGATCATTTAAAATATTATTTTTAAAACAAAAAATTTACCTGGTTTAAATAATGCAACAAGTGTATCTATTATATATTTTACATAATAAGCCTGTGTACACATCAAATCTTCTAGGAAGATCTTATAAGCATGTTTTACTTCTGGTGATCTGTCAATCCAATTTATCTGAAGAAGTACTTCAACAAATATTTGATGAAGAGGACCAAGTAATGATACACATTTTCTTACTTCAGTTACAAATTCTTCTAAATCAATGTCCTAAATAAAATTATTTAAATTCATAATAACTTTCCAATTTTAATTTAACTTACATTATACAATAAAGTATATCATCATTACTTACTTTGATACTGGAACTTCTTAAAATGCATATTAAATCTTCATAATCTTTTACGTTAACTCTATTTTCAAAATTTATAAGAATATCTTTAACATTTTTTGGAAGTTTAAAATATACTTTGTTAGATTGTCTTAATAATTGTGATCTAACATTTGGCAATTTCAAGATAGAAGTCAAACTGCTAATTCGTGATGAAACAATCGACATCTATAGAAAATATATGTTTAATTATTAATGAAGCGATAGATAATAAAAGAGAAAATTTATTATTTACAATTGTGGCATTTACATTGCTTAACTGTTTGTTGAAAGAAAGTTTTGTAAATATTGTATTTAAATTTGATTATATAAAAACAAAGTTACAGTACAGATGGATAAATGAGGTTAGGTCAATTTGACATAGAAAAATTAATAATTACTTACTTTTATAACAAGATTGTTTTCTTTCAAACTTACTATTAACCGTATTTGTTATTTGCGAACAATTATACACACACTCAATAAATATACTACTGTAAAAACTTGTAACTAAAGAAGAGTCAACATGTGGCCGCATCTCACATGTTTGGAAGGAATATTTCACCGATAGTATGCGCCATATTCCATATTCAACAGTAGAAGAAACGTTTGAATAAAAATTTCTCTAACCTAATTTAGTTACTTTGTTTATTTTTGTGTGTATTGGCAATGTTCGTTTATGCTTAGGATAAAAATATCTAATAAGAAATACTAAATATCACGGATAAATATGTATTATAATTATTTTCTGCCGTCTTGATACAACACCATTTTACTAGTACTTTCCTATCTAAATATTTTTTTCCAGATTTTATTTATGATTTTAATTTTTTGAAATTTTAATATTAACTTCGGTTAATTAAATTTAATATTATTTTGATTAAAAAAACATTATATAAATCCACAATCATAGTTTACTATTTTTGTTTATTTGAATAGCTTTCTCCTACTAATGTGATATCAAACATTTTGTAATGAAGTAAACAACATGAGATAATTAAAGTATGGATAATTATAATAGGTGATAGATTGTTGAGTTAACCACGAATTAACAATAAGAGTGGTTTTGTTGATTCCTACTTGTAAGTTTAATCAATTATCCCTTTGATTGTCTGAATTTATTTAAACTATGTATATATAGTACATGTATGTTATTGTAGTACGATTTATTAGTTGTTAGTAATTATATAGCAATCATTTATAATAATCGATATATTGTAAAGTAATTATTTAAACAATGGTACTTTCTAATATTTGTTTAAATGTAATATAGTTATAAACATACACAATGTTAATTTAAAATAATGTTAATATGAAATTTTATTAGGTGCGAATTTCAAACTCCTCATATTCGTTGGTGTCCAGTGATGAAACAACAACAAAGGTGCAAGATATGATCAACTTTGATAGGTATGTATTGTATGTACAAGTCTAACTATCCAGTTAACCGTTTTATTTCAATAAATAAACTTAGCTCTGTTATACTATATTCGTAAGTTTAAATAATTTATTTTTCTGATTATTTTAATTTTATTTACGTTTTGTTTAATATAAGTGTAATATTGTCATGTGAATAATTAATATTTATTAATTATATACAAGAGTAATTTACATATAAAATAATCAAGTTTGCATTATTGCTTAAGCAACATTATTTTTTAAAAACGTTATATAAATATTAATATAAAGTAAATGTAAAATTTAATTCAGTGCGACACTTGTTATATTTTCTGCGTGCAACTGGACACCTTACATGTATATATAGAAATAACACAGTGATCAATTTTATTATGTATTTTTTAAAATTTATAAAATAGTATTATAATATATATAATTACAAGGAGCTTCTTACCATTTTTAATTTAAATAACATATTAACTAGATTTTATGTTTTAAAATTGCATTATGGGTCAAAGTAAATTGGTAGATCCTTTTGTTGTACTATTAATGTTACAAGTGCTTTTTCTAAATTTTCTGGAAGATGATCTAAAAGCATTCGTGGCATTACTATCAATTTGGTAAATTCTTCTGGCTGCGCCCATCGCATTTCATATTTCTTTTCTTTTTTATTTTTCTTACTATAATTAAATAAACGATATAATAAATATATGATCATTGGAACTTATCAATATATATATATAAAAGTTATATTTATAGAAATAATATAATAAGATACCTTTTGGTATCTGTTTCTGTATGTTTACATCTTGACAAATGCAGTATAAGACCAGCATTGTAAAGTCTCATTTTTGAAAATCTTCTTTGTGAAATATCTCGTGCTAGTACTTTGTTTTCCTGAAATCAAATGATATAATTTATTAGGCACAGTTCTAATACGTTTATTTATGTACTTATTTGTCAACGTGTATTACCACATCATAAGTATTTGTTAATATTGTTAACAAAGGAGATTGTATTGGAAGTGGATTGATAATGTCAGAATTTTCCCATGTGTTGTCGAGGTCTTGTTCAGGTACACCATGTAATGCATATCCAAATCCATTGAGAATGACTCTATACTATTAAAACAAAAAATATTATGGGAATTAACGAAGCTCCATGTATTAATCTCATATTTTTACAAGATATACAAATTATAAACAATAGAAAAAATAAAAATAAAAATATACCTTTGGTAATCGACATGCTGCAAGAGTATCAAGTAAAGATGTTCTCAAATCTTCTGTACTTTCAACACTTAACTTCATCACAAGATCATCTCCAAGGCCTATTGTTAGTACAAATTCTTCTGTAATTTTAGCAGCAGCGCGAGTAAGAACTCCAGCTATTTAATTAAGTTTGTTTTCAATTATTTTTTATAAAAGTGATCAAGAAAATACTTCATCCATTTCAAGACATTACCTGGTGTAGAAAATGCATAAACTCTTAAATTTGGGTATTGATGACGTAATAATATACTTAATAAAACTGCAATTCCAGCACCTAAACTGTGACCTACGACGATTTTGTAAGTAAACAATATTAAACATTTCTTCCATTACATAAAATTATACTATTTATTATCTAATTTTTAATAAAATTATAGTAACGTACCTGTTAATGTAAGGGTATAAGTGGGATATGTATTAAAAGCCATTTCTAAGATTTTATAATGGTTCAACTGTTTTAAAATTACTTTAGCTCCTGATATCATACCCTTATGTGCCTACAAATTTATTAAAAAAAACAAATATTATTTTAGTTTTTAAAATAACACGCATGGAAACATAATATCGTATATTTTATAAAAATAAAACGAATTTAAATAATTGTGCAAAATGCAAAAAAATCATTTTACTTTTTATTTATTACTTAATACTGTTTGATTAGCATAAAAAAGATATAAATCATAATAAAGCATTTACGTTAATTATTCTTCTCGTGTTTTTTTTTTTTTTAAGTTACAAACATATAATTACCATACTTCCTGGAGGAAGCCCAGAGCATTCAAACGTTTCGGATGCTGCGGCAATGTCTGTGATTAGATCTCTTAATGACAAAGAGCCTCGTATAACTATAGCGATGCTAGAAGTTTTATGATCGGCTATTACGCAAAAAGGTATCTGTCAATTACATACAAAGATGAAAATTTTGTATAATAAGTGACATAGAATTATTATTCTATTTATCTCGTGCTTAAGCTTACTTCACATAAATGGTTTTTAAAACTTGCGAAGAGAATGTCGTCATTTGATAATTTGGACATATATTTTACTCCGGATAAATTGCAGAAACAACAATTGTCGTCCAGGATAACTTTCCGTTTTTTTCTAGCAAAACACAACTATGTAATAATACTAGACCCGCATAGAAAATTTAAGTATATCATGTTATAAAACTTACCGGAAACAGCCGCAGAAAGTTAAGTTTGGTATTAAACGGAAACATCCGGTACACACATGTTGATAACAAACGAAAAGCCAGCCGTAAGATGCGATAGATAATTTAAGAAAATGATGAGCATTTTCCAAGGTCATCCAGCTGGGAGTGTTGATGAAAATATCACGTGCATCTGAAATAAAAGTTTTTAATATGCTTTAAATTTTAATAATGAGTTGTTAATTGATAGTGAACGAATTCAATCGGATTAATTTATTTACCAACAGTATATTTCGGTTTAGAAAGATTTAATGTTCTCAATTTGTGCGTTTCACGTTTTTGCCTAACTCGCAGTAGAATTAAGCCTGCCATAACGTCGGAAGGTACCAAATCCGTTCCTCGAAATAGAGCAGTGAGTAAACCTGGGAAAAAGTAAATTATTTATAATGTATGGAATGGTTCACTTATGTTAATTATGTTATTATCTATGTTAATAATACAATTTTCAATATTATTAAATTTATTTTTCCTAACATATTATGCTATTTACAAAAAAAGTCCTGCCAATCGAGAACCTAAAGGAGGATGACGATGAAAGTATTTTTTGCAGAGTAACGAGTTTTAAATCTAAATTTGCCATAAAAAGAATAAGATCGTCGTGATTTCTCTACGTAAAACTAAACGAGTATTGAAGACTTTCCTGTCCTACTTCTCTTGCTGGCTTGTTAAATTTTGTTTCTTTTATTTATTTGTTTTATCCACTCAACGGAAAATAAAATCGCGATGTAAAAGTGAATAAGATGGTGAATATTGCTATCCAAGTTCTAATTATAAATGTGGCAGGACTTTTTAAATCAGGCGTACCTATGTCTCACCAGCAACATGTTGGAAGGTTTCGTTGGCGCTTTCGTCCTTTCTCATCCACCAAAGGAACTTAAATCTTCGTCGCCAAATTCGTGATATCTTTCCATGCTCGATTGAGTCATCTAAATTATTTTTGCGCATATCCATCGAGCCAAGAGGATCGAAAACAAGAATAAAACCGAAAATTGTGAGGCCGATGAGGATCCAATTGAAAAATACCATTGCCTTCACGACACTTATCGTGTACTGTTCTATCTCGCATTCTATGTATTTGTTAAAGCTCCAAAGCGTTCCCAATATATTCCAATTTATTTCCGGTAAAATCATAAGTATTCTGTGAATATATAAAAACAATTAAACACAAATAAAGCGATTTTATTGCGATAATTCTTTCTATTTCTTTTCGCTCATAATTAGATAAGCGATTTATGCGTAAGAAGCATAAGAAAATAATAATTTTGTTTTTAATTTTATTTTCTTTCTTTTTGTCATATAGAAATGTGATATTATTATATCATTTACTTACTTCACCGTGAGAAGCGGTTCAACGTATCGGCGAGCGTGCGTATCCGTTATCGATCCTCTACTGCTATATCTTATAATAAAAAATGTAAGAATCATAACTATGCCAAGGATGATTACTTCTCCTAACAAATATACACGGACCAGATCACCTCCTAGCTGGCATTTCCAAGTACTTAAATAATATTTGATGCATCCTATTCCTATCAAGATCAACCTGCAACCATATGTAGAAAGTTTTTACACACAAGAAAAACAAATTAACAACATTCTATCTGAATATTATGACAACATAATGATTATAGTCTTTGTAGGTAATAAGAAAAACGCAACGTTAATTAAGAGTTACATAGACGTGTTGACTTTATTATTCCTCGTTGATTTCTTACCAAATAAGACGTATCAAAATTTCAAACAATTCAGGGTAGACGAGATCATCCGTGGCTGTTAACCATTTCCGCCCGAAGAGCTTCAAGGCTGGCATTTTTTTCTGCAAAACATTAAATCCCAAAATGTACTTTTTAATTTTATTAATCTTTAGAATATGCATTACGATTTGATGAATTCTTAATAACTGTATAAGTTGCATATAACTGCGTTTTTTAGGAGATTTTCAACATTTTATAATATTGAAAAAAGATAGGATTTTTTCATAGTAATTATTTCCTTAGAATCAGTATGATATATTGTGCGTATTTTATGACGTATATTCACAAGTTTTTAGCGTTTGGACATCATGTAGAGAAAGTGCTAAGAGAAAGTATATTTATCTTCTAGATTCGAGTTTATTGACATAATAGTTTGGAATGGACCACGCGGATGTTTGAAAGAAAAGTGAAAAGATTATTTCATTGAGAGATTGTCATCATTGTTATATCTAAAATGTTCAGCCAATAAAAATGATATGGATTTTATCTATTTATTTGATCTTTTGATTTTTCAGCTTAGGTGTATTGAAATTAATGTTGATACACTCATGATATTAAAATTGATTTTTGATCGATTGCAATCACGTGTTCCATTTTTAATTACAAAATCTTATTTTCAATCAATATGTGATCCATATTAAGATAACGCGATTAATCGTCAATAGAAATTATGAAATAATAGCTTTACAGTCCTTAGTTTTCATAATCTAACGGATAATAAGTATTTATTAAATACATTAAATATTGTATATATTTAATACTAAACTATTTTCTTGTTCTTTTACATAAAAAATCGTACGAAAACGTAATTATTCACGAATTAACTTATTTATTAAATAAAAATAAGACTCGAGTAACGAATATAATGTTCCTTTTTGAAATTTAAGAGCCATGGAGTGTGAATTTTGTTCGTAATATTTTACGAGAAATATAATTTCTCTTTATCTGCAAGGACAAGAAAACAAACAAAAAAGTACCGCCAATTTAAAAATGATTGTCTTACTTGGTAACAATCTCCTCTTTTGAAAACTTGATAAAATTTGTCTTCTCTTGTGATTACAATTAGAAAATCACCGTTTTATCGTCTCGAACGCACAGTATAACGGTAAAAATATTTGGCGTATGAAAAATATATAAAAACAAAGTTGGAATGATTTAAAAGATGACAGAAACGGTAAACGATTCGTTATAGAATGTATTGAATTCCTCGAATACTTTCATCGGTAACTTTTACGAGACGAGTTCGCGAGACTGTATATCTGATGGATAACAGTAAAGAACTTTTTGGAGGACTATCCTTTGAAAGGAAATGCAAGCGACTATTACGATATGTGCTCAACGCTACGCCGTCTGACTGTTTGCGAAGGTGACTTGATCACCTTGCTTTGTGACATTCCATGTTGAATTTCACGATCCAGTTGACCGTCCATCGCTTCAGCGAATCGGCACGAAGCACATTTTTTCTTCCTTAGTCTCTCTTTCTACATTTTTCTTCAAGATATACAGGAAAGTAGTTTTAAAAGGGAAGCTGTATTCTCTTCTTTAACAAAGATAAAAGCGAATGAATATGATTTTATTTAAGAATCTTCGAACTTGCGCCGATTTTTACAAATTTCTTCAATTTCTTACTTTTTATCTTTCGAATATTTGTCGTGATAAGATATTAACGAAGATTGATGGAGAGATTTAATATATTATTCCTACAGATCTTATTATTAGATATTCATACATACATGCATACATATATAAATTACTTACAAGACTGTGAAAAATACTCTAAAAATTTATAAAGTCACAAAAATAATACAAAATATTATTTGCATACATATATTCTCGCGCGAAAAATGTTTTTTTTCTTTTTTTCCTCTTTATGTACATATTATATTATATTTTTACCCGCTTCTTTAAAAGGAAAAAATTAAAATAATAAAGAATCTTTACTTGCTCAACCTTTGTACTTAGTTTTGTTCTTTTATTTTACGAGAAGTTTAAATACGAAATCAATTTTGTAGCGATATTGTACATAAAACGGATTTTCGAATATTTTGTACGGTGTTTTATCGAAAAGAAAAAAAAAACAAACGAAAATCATTCGACTCATATTTTAATTAAATTAGACTATTAATTAGGATATTTGTCGGATAAACATCTCTACAAAAAGATAAAATAAGAATAAGAATATATCGTTTCTAGAAGTTCGTTTGATAAACTTTCACTTATTTTCATCCGAACTTAAAGTCAGCCTCTTCAATGACCCATTTACTTATGTATATTATGTATATTATACATTCCTTCTTTCGTTGAAATTCATATAATTGCAGTCACAGCTTGTGCGACATCAGCAAATTAAAAAGATAAATAATCAGCCTATTTCAACTCATGTTTCAAAGTTGAAATAAATTTTTTTTATTCGTTTTTATACGAACAGAATAATAATTATTAATGTCATAAAAGATATGTTTTTTAGTCTAAAGATAATAAAAAGAGATAAGAATCATTAAAACATTTTCTGTCATGTATGTAATCGATGGTACACGCTGATATATTGAAAAAAAGCATCAAATGGCTTGAATAAAAAGTTGATCAAAAACGGCTAAACGCAGAATGTATTAAAAAAAGCTTCTTATTTTTAGAATTTATATAATTTGGAATAATAAATAGGTTTTATATTAGAAAAGTGTATTTAATGTGATTCTCTTAAAAAATAATTCATTAGAGTTTTTTCTTTTGCTTAAATCATATATTAAATTACATTCAAACTGTTTTTACTAGTCTATGACTTTTTACGCAATAATGTCTGCGTAGCGAGAATCGTCTGATACAAATAAGTATGCCGTTATTTGTTCCTGGTATATATGTATGTACAATATTATATGGCTATTTAGTTATGCTTACATGTTAAATGTAGTTAAATGTTCTTAACATATTAATTATGATTTTATTCTCTTTTTTTTTTATGTAAATTAGATATAATACGATACTGTAATTTTATATAAGTTAAATCTATACGATAGATAGAGAGATATAGACTTTTTATATATATATAAATTATATATGTGTAAATTAAATATATAAATTATATATAATTTTGTATATAAAAACTATGTCAATTAATATATCATTGTATATAATTGATTCATTATTTTTTATTTTACTTTTATTGTTATATTTATTAAAAATTAGAATCCATGTTTTATCAACATCCGCGCTGTTCAAAATAGTATTATGCAATGTATTGCTGTACATACATAAAAAGAATTTTTATGTAAAATACCCGCATATTTAGTATTTACTTTTTTGAAATGATGTATGTCAGTAAACAAATTTTACTTGCTCTACTTTACTTTTAAGTACATATCGATTTACTTTGAAATGAAATTGTCTTTTTTAAAATGATACAAAATGCCGAATGGTGGTACTTCATTTGTTATACACATACTAATCGTATAATTGAAAAGTTCATTTTGATTAATTCTTAAGATTATTATATCTTATTATTTAAAATGATGCCTTTCATAGGTACACAAAATGTTTCGCGAGATTATACAATGCCAGCGATACAGCAACGTATCGCTGAATTATTAAAAAGAAGAGTTTCTTTAGAAAGAATTCCTGGAGAAAGTATAGAAGAACGTCTTGTATGTAGTATAAATTATTATAGATGAATTACTTTTTAATTCATGTAGTCGTTAATATTTTACTAAAAAACTAGAGTTTTTAATGGATTTATAGGAAAAATACAAAGAACAGAGAAATTCTAGGCATGGTCTTTTAAGAAGTACACATCAGATGGTATTGGAAGTAGCAGCATTTATTTTAAATTTACCGTCAGCAACTTTAGAAGAAGGAATTATTGACAAAGATGAATATGTAAATACATTTAGTAATTTTTTTAAGGAAGATGGGAAACGAGCTATTATTATACATTATCAATATATGACACCACCATCAATGGGTACTATGTTTTCTTGAATTACTTGAAAATAATGTAAGAATTAAATTACCTATGTACATTATATTTTGTAAATAATTATTTTAGAATCTGGTAGGTGGTCACCACAGTATGAACATGAAAAACAAGTCCTGCGTTGTTGTGTAACCGATGGCACTACTGAACCATTCTATGGCAAATCAATAATAGTTTATCGCCTAAGATCAGATATTGAATTTGAAACAAAGCATTTGTTAGATGTTAGTAATTTCATTTATTAGTACTTGACCAATTATTTGAGAAAGTAATCTATCATAAATGTTTTAAATTATAATGTGAAATGAAATATATCTAATGTTTTTATATCCTTATATTTATTTATTAATCTATATAGGAAACATATTATGCTTATGCAGAAGTTGATTTTACTTCGCAAAGTCCTATCGCTGCAATATCAGATTTAATGTCACGATTAAATGAACCAGCAATAAAAGCTAACACACAATGGGGTGAATTGTCAAAGACAGAAAGAGATTTTAAAATAGCAAAGAATTTTATACATGATTTTAGTAATTTCTGCGAATTCCTTAGTAGTATGTTATACTTATGTTATTTAAGCTATTATATATAATATATATAATATATATAATATATAAATAATACTGGGAATTTATAACTTTTACTGCTATATAATACTTCATTTTATATTTACATTATTTACAGCAATAAACATTGATCTTCAAGGTATTGTAAGATTTGAAATTAATTGGGATCTTTATAATAAGTATCTGACAACACTAAAAGATATAAAACTAAATGCAAAGAATCGTGATGTTGTTGAAATAGGAGAGAACAATGTTCGAATTTGGATGAAAATAATAGAACGAGTTAGAATATTTTTATCATATTATAATTTATATTTAATAAGATTATAAATATTATATGCGTGTATATACATTCTTTGTATTAGGCAATTGTTGAAAGTCAGCAATTACGAAGAGAAACTGAAGTAATTGGACCTACAGGTGAACTTGCTTATTGGAGACGATTACTTATCCGATTTTCATCAATTATAGAATGTATTAAATCATCATATACTCAAGCATTTATTGATTTATTAATTCATTCAAACTCTAAATTGATGAAAGTATGTATATTCACTACTATAAACTTTGTATAAACTTTTATACAAATACTTTTATTTTTATTATCACGTTTTTATATGTATTTCTTTTGTGTTCATTTTTTATTAAAAACATCACGTGGTTTAATTATATAGAAATGGAAGAGATTGATCAACCATGTTATAACAGTGCAGATATTAGCTCAAGACAATGTGAATTACTTATATGCTTTAGAAAAATTTACAAAACCATTATATAGATTAGATCCAA